AGTTCTTACCCCAAGTTCTTATCGCATTGTTCTCTCACAGGTTTATAACATGGAGAGGGTAAAGCTGAAGTACTGCGGAGTACACTTCAACTCCCCCACCGTCTCCCCCACAAATGATCAGATAGAGATGAGCTTCGGGGCCACTCACCCGGGGGTGTTCGATCCGGCTAATCAACAGTTCATTCTTAACTTCAGAGGTTTGTTATTAATTATTGTTTATTTAATCAGCAGTTCATTCTTAACTTCAGAGGTTTGTTATTAATTATTGTTTATTTAATCAGCAGTTCATTCTTAACTTCAGAGGTTTGTTATTAATTATTGTTTATTTAATCAGCAGTTCATTCTTAACTTCAGAGGTTTGTTATTAATTATTGTTTATTTAATCAGCAGTTCATTCTTAACTTCAGAGGTTTGTTATTAATTATTGTTTATTTAATCAGCAGTTCATTCTTAACTTCAGAGGTTTGTTATTAATTATTGTTTATTTAATCAGCAGTTCATTCTTAACTTCAGAGGTTTGTTATTAATTATTGTTTATTTAATCAGCAGTTCATTCTTAACTTCAGAGGTTTGTTATTAATTATTGTTTATTTAATCAGCAGTCCATTCTTAACTTCAGAGGTTTGTTATTAATTATTGTTTATTTAATCAGCAGTTCATTCTTAACTTCAGAGGTTTGTTATTAATTATTGTTTATTTAATCAGCAGTTCATTCTTAACTTCAGAGGTTTGTTATTAATTATTGTTTAATTATGTTGAAGAATTTACCTCTTTACTCACGGTTACATTTTTTTCTGATTTTGCGTACACCATCTTCGTTGTATCACTGGTTCCTATCAGATCTTTTTTCAGGGTTGTCGTTTTTCTTCCCGAGTAACGACAAGTTAGAACACAACTATTCCCACGGACTGGGAAGTCTGCAGTTCAGTAATGGCCCTCCTGTGGTTAGCAAGCTTTGTATCTACATGGGAAATACTTTATCCGGTTAGTTTTACCGCTTTTTTGACCAATTTTCTATTTTATCTCTAATCTCATTACATTTTTAAGTTATAACATTTAAAAGTTATAACAGTGTCTATCTTCTCGTCTGATTATATGTTTCTAGCAATTTCTAAAATATCATCAGAAACCAAGGCACCATCCCTGCCTATATCTTGTTACCAGTCCAAATGTTATTGCGAAAAAGTGGAACTTGTTAAAGATGACAGCGGCCAAATCAGTGGTGTTAAAGTTGAGCTCTACGGCGAATCAGGTGCCAATTAATTAATTAATTAATTGATGAATTGATAATTAATTTTTACCAGGACAGTGCCCACTCCCCTACTTTGTAAGTCCGCCCCCCCCCCCCTACTTTGTAAGTTCCGCCCCCCCCCCCCCCCCTACTTTGTAAGTTCCCCTGCCTCGCTCTAACCGATAACTAATTGCTTGTAAGGTAGCCCGAACAAACAGAACGATGTCAGACAAGGCTCGCTCTAACCGATAACTAATTGCTTGTAAGGTAGCCCGAACAAACAGAACGATGTCAGACAAGGCTCGCTCTAACCGATAACTAATTGCTTGTAAGGTAGCCCGAACAAGCAGAACGATGTCAGACAAGGCTCGCTCTAACCGATAACTAATTGCTTGTAAGGTAGCCCGAACAAGCAGAACGATGTCAGACAAGGCTCGCTGGTCCAGGAGATCAAGTTTGGTGAGAGTTGTCAGGATGTTATGAGCAGTTTGGGAGCTCCCTGTAAGATATACTACAAGGACGAGGATAAGATGAAGATACACTCGAAATCTCCTGAAAAGCAGGTTAATTTACAAATTATTAGTTAATTAGTTAATTAGTTTATAGCTTAGTTAGGATTTAAATCGTCACTCATTCAATCAACGTGATATTGAGAAGAAATTAAACTAGCAGGGTTGCTAAACCCCAGAGGCAGGCAGAGCATCCTCGTGCTATCGTGGACCATTCAGGACCAGCCTCTATTTAAAAAAAAAGTCTTCCATTTTCGACAACTGCGGCTATTTCAACGACAACTTTTCAGCTGGAGAAAGAAGAGTCGGACTATTTTTACAACTATTTCACCCTTGGAATAGACATTCTGTTTGATGGTAAAACACACACCGTTACAAAGCTTGTTTTACACAACAACTACCCGGGACACTACGACTTCAACATCTACTACAGAGCTTAGTGAGTTATTAATATTACCACCACGTGGTTTTTCAAGATCACGTGGTTTTTCAAGATCACGTGGTTTTTCAAGATCACGTGGTTTTTTAAGATCACGTGGTTTTTCAAGATCACGTGGTTTTTCAAGATCACGTGGTTTTTCAAGATCACGTGGTTTTTTAAGATCACGTGGTTTTTCAAGATCATGTGTTTTTTCAAGATCACGTGGTATAATGACCTGATTTTTTCTTAATTTCTAAAAGTAAAAGTTGACTTTCTTAGTTTTTTTTCGCAGCCTCAATTCTCATCTCTAATTTATTTTACAACTCTATAATTTTAATTAATTAATTTTACAACCCTATAACAAATGCTGTATTATTTTGACATACTATTATCTTATTCTTGTAGTTTTGAGTTGGAGTTGGAGCTAGATGCTAATACGAAATGCTGCGTCACCTCTACTACCAAATGGGACAAAGTGGAAGAAATAATTGGAGAACATTACAGGTTGGTTATGATTTTATTATCGGCAATTCGGTGGAAACATAGCGCACGAGTAACGCACGTCGCGGTTATTATATACCGTGACAATTCGTTAATTCGGTAGAAACATAGCGCACGAGTAACGCAAGTCACGGTTATTATTTACCGTGACAATTCGTTAATTCGGTAGAAACATAGCGCACAAGTAACGCACGTCACGGTTATTATTTACTGCGGACAATAGACCATTGTTCAATATGGTTTTACCCTGGCCATTCACAAAATGTCTATCCTGCAACTTTCACCAACAACTCAACGGATAATTTCCAAACACAACTAAATATTTTCAGTAAACCTGTAGTACTAAACCGGAGGAGTTCTACCAATGCTACAAACCCTTTTGGTCCTACTTTCTGCTACGGTTTCAACAGTGTGATAGTTGAAGTGATGCCCAACAATAATTACATCGCCTCAGTAACGATTTACAAATAAACGTGACATCATCATCATGTCACGTGATTTCATCATCATGTCACGTGAACCAATTAAACTCAATGGAACGCAGTTGAGAGTATTGTGATAGAAGTGGTGTCGTTTCAAGGGTGTGAATTATCAGAAAGTTAACGAAGGTAAAGCAAAAAAAGAAATAGACTCAAAGTTGATTACTTTATCGGACCTTATTTGGGCGGCGTTGCGCAGACAGACACAATTTTGGGCGGACATTGTGGACAATTATGGGGACAATTATTTCTCTGCTCGTACAAGACAGTCGGACTCCAATTAAAGTGAACATTACGTGGACGCTGACCTACTAAATAATGTCCGAAAAGATAAATTAGTTGATATTTGTTGTACAATTTCGGGGTTTGAGATTTATTGTTGGTAATTTTTGCATTTCATACTAACAAAATATTTGATAAGTTAAATGAAATTTCAATGGTAGATAATGACGAACAATTAGTTTTTACGTTCTCCAAACCTTCATTGTGTAGCTTTAGATACGGTAACCACAAAGTTTGTAATTGTAGTTTTGCTTGCACGGATTTTTACATTGATAGAGCCATTTCTGTGAATTGTAACACATTTATATACGTTAAAGTTAAACAAAAGAAATGATATTTAGAATTACATTTTAAAACTTTGGTTATTTGTATGCATTGAGAATTGAACGTTGAAGAGATGTCTAGATTATTGTGCAAGACTGTTATTAAAAACGAGCATTTTCATTTGTCGCAAAACGGAATTATTAGCAATTTTGAATCAGCATCATCAATTTCATTAATCATATCCATCCATCCATCCATCCATCCATCCATCCATCCATCCATCCATCCATCCATCCATCCATCCATCCATCCATCCATCCATCCATCCATCCATCCATCCATCCATCCATCCATCCATCCATCCATCCATCCATCCATCCATCCATCCATCCATCCATCCATCCATCCATCCATCCATCCATCCATCCATCCATCACTTGTCGCAAAACAGAATTATTAGCAATTTTGAATCAGCATCATCAATTTCATTAATCATATCCCTCCATCCATCCATCCATCCATCCATCCATCCATCCATCCATCCATCCATCCATCCCTCCCTCCCTCCCTCCCTCCCTCCCTCCCTCCCTCCCTCCCTCCCTCCCTCCCTCTCTCCCTCTCTCCCTCCCTCCCTCCCTCCCTCCCTCCCTCCCTCCCTCCCTCCCTCCCTCCCTCCCTCCCTCCCCCTCCCTCCCTCCCTCCCTCCCTCCCTCCCTCCCTCCCTCCCTCCCTCCCTCCCTCCCTCCCTCCCTCCCTCCCTCCCTCCCTCCCTCCCTCCCTCCCTCCCTCCCTCCCTCCCTCCCTCCCTCCCTCTCTCCCTCCCTCCCTCCCTCCCTCCCTCCCTCCCTCCCTCCCTCCCTCCCTCCCTCCCTCCCTCCCTCCCTCCCTCCCTCCCTCCCTCCCTCCCTCCCTCCCTCCCTCCCTCCCTCCCTCCCTCCCTCCTTCCTACCCTCCCTCCCTCCTTCCTACCCTCCCTCCCTCCCTCCCTCCCTCCCTCCCTCCCTCCCTCCCTCCCTCCCTCCCTCCCTCCCTCCCTCCCTCCCTCCCTCCCACCCTGCCTCCCTCCCTCACTCCCTCCTTCCAGCTCCCTCCCCCCCTTCCTCTCTCCCTCCCTCCCTCCCTTCCTCTCTCCCTCCCTTCTTCCCTCTTTCCTTTCTCCCCGAAAGTATCTCAGTATCATTACCAGCTATTAGTATAATCTCACACATTGTTAGAAAATAGCGAAATTAATAACTCAATATGTAATAACAGCACGAAAAGATGTCGCTGATAGGCAATAGCCACGTCTCGCGACTAACACCTCCCTCGCTCCCTCTCTAACTCGCTTGGATTAGTAAGTTGCAATACACTGAGTATCAATCAGTACGTTGCTTTTCGTTTCTTGTATCTTAGCTTTGTATTCTAATTTAACACCACTAAATGATGTTGCGTCTGGCTTGTCTAGCTTTTTTTGTCCTTTTTCTAGCTATTGTGACAGCAGGTTGGTTTTGTGTATAACACGTTGAACGATTTTAAAAGGCTAAATGTCAGAAAATTAAAAAAAATGTGACCTAAAAGTTTTGCAATTTACGATTTCCATTCAACGATGTGATCCTATGCTAAGGACCCGGACTGTAGCCTTTTTAGATCAGATCTCTTTAGCTTTCATGGGTCTCGAGATCAGAGAACCCAAAACTCTAAATCAAATTTCCAACCAATACAATTTTTGAAATTTCCGACTGATATTCGACCATCGCCTTCCAAATCGAACCGGATTCAGCCGGCTGTATCCGGCTAGTCGGGTATTACTGTATTAGTGATTAGGTCGGCTCCTAACTAAGACTTTACTTATTACTTTGTAATTATCACTATTCATTTCATACTAATCATAATATGATATTGCAGAAGTTGAAGAAGTTGAGGATACATATAGCCAAGAATTAAATGAACTTGCCGAAAGGGAGTTAGCTGAAATTGTAAAACGACAAGGTAATTATCACATAACTTCCACATTGGTGAATAAATTTGGCGTAACATAAATTGTACTTTCAATGCAATATGAATATAATAGTAGTGACATTTCCATATTATAACAATGCAATATTCTTATTGCATTGTGCAAATAAATGTAAACTGACAGGATGGAATAGAAAGCATAGAAAAAGTAAGAAAGACAAAGGCAGCAAGGTAATAAAATTAAATAACATAACTATGTACTAGTTTGTAGTTGGTTTGATGAATGAAAGTATTTAATCTAGATATCTTTATTCGTTATACAATAACAAACTAACATCTCGCAGTTGCATCTTAAAGATATACATAAGGGGCAAGTTTCCATAAACGATATTTTATGATCGGCGCCGATAATCGCTTATTGAGCGCTTTCTCGGCGCTTTTTTTAAAAAAAACCGTTTATAATCGATTTTTTTACGATTATAAACGGTTCAAAAAAAATCGCTTATAATCGACTATAATTGATGTCATAATTCAAAAAAGCGCTTTTTTGAATTTAAAAGCGCTTATAAGCGCTTTTAAGCGCTTACTAGCGTCGCTGAGCGATTTGAAAGCGGTTTTTCAGTAGGATTGGCGCCAAAAACGGGTGGATAAGCGGTTGGCCGGATAAGCGATTCGTAGGCGCTTTTTTGAACCATTTATAAGCGATTATAAGCGCTTATAAGTGGGGTGCAATTTAGCTGTTTGTAAAGCGCAAATAAAGCGCTTATAAGCGCTTTTAAAATTGAGTCAGGAAAACGCTATATTACATCTTATAACCGCTTATAATCGATTATAATCGCTTTTTTAGAAATCGCTTATAACGGCTAATTCATCGCTATTTTACCGCTTTTACCACTTTTCCTATCATCCATGGCCAGGTGAGCAGGAATTAAAAAGCGCTTATAAGCGCTTTTTCGATGCTGCCCCTAACCTGGTCGGAACGGGGTAGTGCCCGGAATTTAAAAGCGCTTATAATCGCTTTTTCAATGCTGCCCCTAACCTGGTCGGAACGGGGGAGGGCCCGGAATTTAAAAACCCTTATAAGCGCTTTTCGATGCTGCCCCTAACCTGGTCGGAACGGGGGAGTGCCCGGAATTAAAAAGCGCTTATAAGCGATTTCTCAATTCCCCTTAACCTGGTCGGAACTGGAGAGTGCCTGGAATTAATAAGCGCTTATAAGCAATTTCTCAATTCCCCTTAACCTGGTCGGAACTGGAAATCAGGGTGCCCGCTTATATGTTATAAGTGCTTTTCTGTGCAACCTGGGGTGCACCGGCAGAGTCAGGATTTAAAAGCGCTTATAGGCGCTTATGATTGCTTTTCTACCGCTTTCCTATCGCCCATGGCCTGGTTGGCAGGAATTAGAAAGCGCTTATAAGCGCTTTTTCAATGCTGCCACTAACCTGGTCGGAACGGGGTAGTGCCCGGAATTAAAAAGCGCTTATAAGCACTTTTTCAATGCTGCCCCTAACCTGGTCGGAACGGGGGAGTGCCCGGAATTAAAAAGCGCTTATAAGCGATTTCTCAATTCCCCTCAACCTGGTCGGAACTGGAGAGTGCCCATTCGTATGTGCTTTTCTGAGCAACCTGGGGTGCACCGGCAGAGTCAGGATTTAAAAGCGCTTATAGGCGCTTATGATCGCTTATCTACCGCTTTTCCCATCACCCATGGGCTGGTTGGCAGGAATTAGAAAGCGCTTATAAGCGCTTATTCAATGCTGCACCTAACCTGGTCGGAACGGGGGAGTACCCGAAATTAGAAAGCGCTTATAAGGGAGAGCGCCAGGAATTAGAAAGCGCTTATAAGCTTAACGGGCGATACTCGTAAAATATTTGTTTCAAATATTACGTTGAGTCCAACTCGGCGTGCGTCCTGGTAAGTTATAAACTTACAATTATAAGCACAAATCTGAACATCCGTTCACCTGGAGTGCACGAAATTTAAATGCACTTATAAGCGCTTTTCTCGATGCCCCTAAACCTGTCATGCACAGGCGGGAGTCAGGATTTGAAAAGCGGTTAAGCGATTACAATCACTTTTTATTACTGGTTTTTACCGCTTTATCTATCATTTATCAACATGGATTTAAACATAGTTGTTTGACTGGCGATCTAGAAGCCAAGCAAGAAGGCTAAGTGCACGGCGCGGCAAAGTTCTCCGACAATAATTGTCAGAAATTGTAAAGCGCTTGCAAGCGTTTATTTATATGTTGTTAATGGTGACGGTTGTCCTGGTGGCGGTCGATGCCCGCTGCGTCATCAGTCATACACACTTCACATCCAGAACTTGCAAAAGAAAAGTATAGTATATGAAATTAAATTATTGCGCTGGGCCACGCTCAGTCTGTCAACGAGTATGACAGGCCTGTTCATGTTATTCCAAAGAATCTCTAGTCGGGCTGAGCGAATCACGACGTCTGAAAAAGTGCGGTGACGTCATTGAAAGTTAGTGTATGCGTGACCAGCATTTACGTACTTGTTCATAATCAATCGCAAATCGTGGACATAAAAAACACGTGCACGCTGATTGACCATTGTTAGGGGGTGCACGATAAAAATAAACTTGCTCGGATTTTCAAAATTTTTGTACCATTGTTTTCTAGAGACTGTGAGAATTTTCACAGTACCAAATTTGTCATATTTTTTTGGGATGATCAGTGAGTTTTGCCTAGGTGCCATATTTGATGGTGCGCGGCTTTTGGAGCAAAATTAGGTGTAAAACTTGCGTAATTTGACCAAATTCGTTGATTTTTGTCGTATTATTTTATCATATCTTCGGTTCCTGAACATGAATCATGCTGAAAATTTGTCAGAACCTTCCAATCATACTTAACTACCGAACCTAATTTAGTTGTGAGAGATTGGCCTTGATTAAGAGGTCTAAAACTGACAAAATAGGTATAAATTCGTTGATAACTCAAATTCTGACCATCGAAATTGCTCAAACTAATTTAGGTTCAGTAGAACATAAGTGTTTACGTACGCTGACCAAATTTCAACAAAATTGTTATATGAGAAGTATTATAACTTTTTGATTGTTTCCGAAATAATGTGCTGGCCGAAATACGAGCTAAAAAACCATTCAATGGTCAGCGCGCGCGTCTTACGGTCGATGGCGCACTGCCTACCATTGTTAATGGTCTGGCCCGAAGCGCGCTACTTCGTAGCAATTGCCATCGGGCATTGCGGGCAAGTGATATTTCGAGAAGAAAGTTGATACATGTTTCGTATCCCTACTTCGAAGAAATTTAGACGAGTAACATCCGTCAAGCACGCTGAGTACCAATAGGAAAAAAAGTAATGTATACGCTAGAAAAGCCGCGCGCGTGCTGAGATAGCTTGTAAAATTTGGTTATTAGATAGTAAAACTGCAACAAATAAACCGCGCCAGCTTGCGCGTTTGATTCGCTCCTACGAAATCGCTCGCCCAAATTTTAAGAAAATTCTTGTGAAAACAGAAAAGGCCTTTGGGTATGAATGATATTGATCTGAATCGGTGTATTTTTTGGACGCTGATCCCGAATCACCCGCCATGAAGTAGGGTAAAAAACCGTTTTAGTCACGTGACAGGCTAGTAAAACATGATTTCGATTGTTTAGGGCTCATGTTAGGGTTAGGGTTGTGGTACGCGGGTTATGGATAGCTTCGGGGTTATGGTTATGGTTAGGTTAGGGTTGGGATTAGGGTTTATGTAAAACTGTTTTGTACGGCTGCAAAACCATAAAAACCAAGGTCACGTGAAATTTTTGGGCGAGCGAATTAGCAAGATCCGGTTTTTATATAAAAATAAGCGTACACATGATATACAATGCAATAAACCTAAGAGTTTCTGCATGTTCGATTATTTTGCACCTAACCATGTGCCTTCGTGCTGCCGTTGCTTTATCCAGATATGTATTGATTCACAATGTCAATCCTTCGCAGCTCGGTGAGGCACAGTGGTGCATCTCGCCGATCTACCGGTTGCGAGGAGCATTATTTGATGCGCGCGCGACCCAGTAGTGCATCGCGCTACAAGATATGTAGTGCGCCATCGACAGTGAGCCGCGCGTGCCGACTGTATAGTAGTATGGTTTTTTAGCGCTAATTTCGGCCAGCACAATTTTCTTCAAACAAATAGATATTGAGTATCCTTCCCGACCTCCGATTGCAACAAAAATTGGTGAGCTTACTCATAGACTTACAAGAAAAGTGTCCGAAATAATACGACAAAAATCAACGAATTTGGTCAAATTACGCGACTTTAACCAGGTTAAGGGGCATTGAGAAAGCGCTTATAAGCGCTCTTTAATTCCGGGCACTCCCCCGTTCCGACCAGGCTAGGGCCTAGGGGCAGCATTGAAAAAGTGCTTATAAGCGCTTTCTAATTCCTGCCAACCAGCCCATGGGTGATGGGAAAAGCGGTAGAAAAGAGATCATAAGCGCCTATAAGCGCTTTTAAATCCTGACTCTGCCGGTGACCCCAGCTTGCACAGAAAAGCAATTATAAGCAATAAGCGGGCACTCTGATTTCCAGTTCCGACCAGGTTAAGGGTAATTGAGAAATCGCTTATAAGCGCTTTTTAATTCCGGGCACTCCCCCGTTCCGACCGGGTTAGGTGCAGCATTGAAAAAGTGCTTATAAGCGCTTTCTAATTCCTGCCAACCAGGCCATGGGTGATAGGAAAAGCGGTAGAAAAGCGATCATAAGTGCCTATAAGCGCCTTTAACTCCCCCGTTCCGACCAGGTTAGGGCCTAGGGGCAGCATTGAAAAAGTGCTTATAAGCGCTTTCTAATTCCTGCCAACCAGGCCATGGGCGATAGGAAAAGCGGTAGAAAAGACTAAGAGATCATAAGCGCCTATAAGCGCTTTTAAATCCTGACTCTGCCGGTGCACCCCAGATTGCACAGAAAAGCACTTATAAGCGGGCACTCTGATTTCCAGTTCCGACCAGGTTAAGGGTAATTGAGAAATCGCTTATAAGCGCTTTTTAATTCCGGGCACTCCCCCGTTCCGACCGGGTTAGGTGCAGCATTGAAAAAGTGCTTATAAGCGCTTTCTAATTCCTGCCAACCAGGCCATGGGTGATAGGAAAAGCGGTAGAAAAGCGATCATAAGCGCTTTTAAATCCTGACGCTGCCGGTGCACCCCAGGTTGCACAGAAAAGCACTTATAAGCGGGCACTCTGATTTCCAGTTCCGACCAGGTTAAGGGTAATTGAGAAATCGCTTATAAGCGCTTTTTAATTCCGGGCACTCCCCTGTTCCGACCAGGTAAGGGGCAGCATTGAAAAAGCGCTTACAAGCGCTTTTAAATTCCGGGCACTACCCCGTTCCGACCAGGTTAGGTGCAGCATCGAAAAAGCGCTTATAAGCACTTTTTAATTCCTGCTCACCTGGCCATGGATGATAGGAAAAGTGGTAAAAGCGGTAAAATAGCGATGAATTAGCCGTTATAAGCGATTTCTAAAAAAGCGATTATAATCGATTATAAGCGGTTATAAGATGTAATATAGCGTTTTCCTGACTCAATTTTAAAAGCGCTTATAAGCGCTTTATTTGCGCTTTACAAACAGCTAAATTGCACCCCACTTATAAGCGCTTATAATCGCTTATAAATGGTTCAAAAAAGCGCCTACGAATCGCTTATCCGGCCAACCGCTTATCCACCCGTTTTTGGCGCTAATCCTACTGAAAAACCGCTTTCAAATCGCTCAGCGACGCTAGTAAGCGCTTAAAAGCGCTTATAAGCGCTTTTAAATTCAAAAAAGCGCTTTTTTGAATTATGACATCAATTATAGTCGATTATAAGCGATTTTTTTTGAACCGTTTATAATCGTAAAAAAATCGATTATAAACGGTTTTTAAAAAAAAAAGCGCCGAGAAAGCGCTCAATAAGCGATTATCGGCGCCGATCATAAAATATCGTTTATGGAAACTTGCCCAAAATACAACTTTTTGTATAGCTCCAGTTCCAATTCAAAGTTTAACTTTGAGAATCATTACCCTTTCATCATGAGTCAGAGTATGAACTTATTACTAATAAAGTTGATTAATATTGATTGCTTAGTTACAGTGAAACTTTTACTTACTGTCGCTGCTCCAGGTAATCGTGGAGTTAAAAGATCGTCAATGAATTGAAGACAGCAGATTCGAGCAGCTCATGTTATGCTGCATGGAATGTTATAACATTTAAATAAAACGAATAAAATTCTCAAATTAATTTTTGTCACATAATTGCATTATAGCATTATACATTAACGTGTAATCCCTTTGGTTGCATAAGAAAATCAGGTAAAACTATCGTTCAGATCATTTTTATTCTTCAAATCAGTATATGGATAATATTTTAGATTATTTCGTGGACCAACATTTATTTATATTTATAAATATAATCATGTTCCATGTTTTATTTCGACGGTATAAAATATAATTATAAGCTTGTTTATATCATATCTTGAAATCGCATAACAATTTTTTCGTGACTGGTGACTACTATTCGCCGTTTTCTTACAATATCTTAAGGCCAGAGGGGGGGGTAAATGGCACTTTTCTAGTTTTCACATATTTGATAATAGCTGCTGGAGACGAACAAGAAGAAAAAAACCGGATCAAAATCTGACCTTGCGTTCCTGAGATATCGCGCGCTAAATTTTGAGGTTTACCTGTAATCACATGTTAAACTGGATATTTAAACGGCTGTAACTTTTTTGACCTTTCGATTCCTTAGTTGAGAAAACTGGCCACTCCCTGATCTTGAGGTTTGGTACAGTGGTTCCTTGGACAATTATCCTCATTTATGATGCAGCGATTTTTTTTATTTGACTCGGTTCTTGAATTATGAGGTTAACCATGTCAAAAATTCGACAAATTTAGCTGGTTAACCTCATAATTCGAGAAACGAGTCGAATAAAAAAAATCGCTGCATCTAATGTCTAGATACTTGTCCAAGGAACCACTGTACCAAATCTCAATATCAGAGGGTGGTTGGTTTTCTCAACTAAGGAACTGGAAGTCACAGAATGTGTTTTGAGATAGATGCAATTTAGTGTTTTCAAAATTTTGAATATTCACTGGAACGTATCACAGTTCGTTAGTTAGGACTTTTTATACACTTAATAACGTTTGCTTGATCAGACCTGGCCGTCCCCTGAATGATTTTAGCCACTTTCAGTAGTTAATGTCCTTGTATTGTAAAAAATGAGGTTAACCAAGACTTCCTGTAAACACTAACTGCTTAAAATTTGGTTGTTAACCTCGCTTTAGACCATATAACACTGGGATTGGTTTATCAATATGTTATTATATATGTAGTAAAACATTTGCACAGTATAACGATTAAGTTTTTGAGGTTAACATGTAATTGACTGGTCAGATATTCAAAAAATGAGAGGTTAACCTCATTTTTAAGCCATTTACGGGCAAAATCTTCTACTAAAATATGGTCAGTTCAAATCACCTTTGTCACGTGATTATAGTTGTAGGCATTGTGATACCAATAGATACCTCACTTCGATATTGTGGTACATTACAAAAGTAAGAATCGTATGTATATTCCCTACGGTACCAAAATGTGATGGTTAACCTCATTTTTTTCATTTTCCAAGATAAAAGAAAGTCATTCAACACGTCATCTATTTGGAAATGTGTATACCGTAAACTTACGATGAAAATAATAACTCTATCATGTGATCTATTCTCGCTATATCTAAAAGAAGAGGTTAACCTCATTTAATCACGTTTGGATATTAATTTTTCTGATAATTATGAACCTAAAGTTTAGAGTTTACATTTGCTGACCGAAATAACAAAAAATTATGGCGTGTAATAAAATTTTAACCTCAATTTTATTAACCTCAATGTTGTATAGTCAATTTTGTGAAAATCGGTTAACCTCAATTATAAAATAAAGTTAATCAGCTACAAATATGTGAATAGCAGCAATGTTTTTGTCATCCAAAATTAAATCGATTTAGAAAATAATATTTTGGTAGAAATTTTTGACCCCTTACCCCCCCCTCTGGCCTTAAATGATATAGTAAAATTTGATCAAATTGTTAGACTTAGAGTTAACCATTTCTATTTTTCCGAATAGTGTTGGCCGCAGAACAATTTACTCTAAGGGCGCACCAAAAGTCAACCTTAGACAGGACCCTTAACCATGAACCAGAGCCCTCAATTGTGCCAAACGTATTATATTTATATGGTATAATAGTTTACCTGGGGACCTCAGGCTATCATGTTCATTAACATAGAGATTTGGCAGAATGACAGACTGAGCGCGGCCCAGTAAATAATAGTACGCGTAGGCTCATGGTATTGGTTAGGTGAACAGAATAATTACAAATACTAATACTAATAGAACGAAAACTTAAAGTCCAACTCCGGCCAAGCTGCGATTCAAAATACATATTTTTTCCTTGTATTGCAGCTTGCCCATTTATTTGAATATAGTAATTAATATTTATTGAGTTTTTCCATATAATTTCAACAAAGCTGTGCGGAATTGTAAAATGCTGTTGAAGTTTTGTTCGCTCAGAACAGAATCTCATTAAAAAATTTAATATTTAGAATTATATCTATCAAAGATTCTCGCTCCTCTGGCCTCAGCAAGTTTATATATAATATATATATAGTTTAAATACTTTAATAAACACTACTATATAACAAATAATTTGAGGATGACTGTAAGTGTAAAGGTATATTTTACCGACATTTGAAGTCAACGCGTACCGAGTTGTTTTACTGACAGTTGTGGCTGACTAACAATATACATATATATAATAAATTAAAATAGTTGTTGCTTGGTTTCCCTAAGAGAGTGCTCGACTGCAGTTAAGCAGGAGATCTAGAAGAGCTGAGACTGAAAAGAAGAACTAGAAGAGAGCTGAGAGCTATACAGAACCTGAAAAAGTTCATGCAATTAAGAACAATATATTATGATATAATTATGGTCAGCCCTTTTTATTTATATTTAGAAAATGTAAACCGACTCAAGGAATTAGCTTATTAGGTAGCAAAAATTGAGATTGTTGTGTCACAACTCACATATAATTTCATATTTGATCTATGACTATATTTAAAAGGACCGTGTTTTTGCAGCACGGCATTCAGTAAAATTTTACGTTTTTTGGTAAACCACTTTACTTTAGAAACGAAAGCAAATCTTAGTAGTGCAGTGCTTTAATAATCTAATAATGATTGTTTTACTATAATAACTCGCAATGAGCAACCTCTCGAGCCTTTTGAGGGTCTACCACGTGCTCTCAATGTCCCTTTTACTGGAGTTGAAATACATGCAGCCACCTCTAGCTTGAAAAATGGGAGGGCAAATGGTCCCGATGGAATACCCAACGAGCTAATTAAGTACTCTAATAGTACAGTCCATGAACATTATGCTGGAATCATCAACAGTTGTTTCGAGACACATACTTTCCCCATTTCCATTGGAGAGGCTACTATAACACCCTTACAGAAGCCAAAAAAACCTATTGGTCCTCTGAAGAATTTACGTCCACTCACCTTGTCCAATGCAGCCAGAAAAATTCTGTCTATGGCTACTCTTAAAAGGATAGAAGAAAAAGTGAACGCCTTCACTGGTCCATGGCAGTGTGCATATAAACGCGCTTGTTCTTGTGCTGATATTGTTTGGTGTCAGCGAGTTCTACTGTCAGTTGTCCAAAGGAAGAAATGGGAGTATCAATATCATCGCATGGGCATTGATATGTCTAGTGCGTTTGACACGATCAAACGCACTACGATTCTTGAACTCCTGAAACTGTGTGGCTGTACTCAGTACTGAGGATGAGCTGAGGATTGTCCGGTTGTTGTTGTCCAACACAAAGCTACGGGTGAAGGTAAATGGAGTTCTTTCAGCTGAGTTTTTAAGTCTCCTTGGAGCTTTCCAAGGTGACTGTCTATCCGGCTGTCTGTTCACCCTTGTCTTGGCTGGTGCTTTGAATGAACTTAGATGGACTATAACAATCAGTTTAGATAGGCCGATCCCCCGATTACTATTGCTGGCCTTCCACTTGACACTGAATATGCTGATGATGTTGACTTCAATGATGAAGAGGAAGACAACTTGAGAGCTATTTTGCCCCAGGCAACAGCTATACTCGAGAAATGGAACCTCTTTGTCAATGAAGACAAAACGGACTTCACTCATGTTTATTTAGCTAGTACGGGTGAAGTCGACAGTGATGGAAAATTAGTGTCGGGGAATGAAGCATGGAGGAAAAGTATCACTCTAGGGTCCGTCTTGTGTAGCAAAGCTGATATTCAGCGTCGCATAAACCTGGGATATGCTGCCTTTAACAATTACAAGAAGGCCTGGAGTGATAAACTGCCCCTAAACAAACGTCTAATACTGTATAATACTTTAGTCGTATCGGTTCTTATGTACAACTCATCCTGTTGGGCCGTCCCCAAAATATTCCTTGAAAAACTAGATGTTGTTTTTATTTGAATAATATCTTTGACCTGCATTATCTCCGTAATTTGAGTTACCTTACTCGGGAATATTATAACTGGGATAAAGTGGTGGGTTTTGGAAGATTTCGCCATATTTTTCCCGGTCAAAAATTTTACCAGTCATAAAAAAACCCGCCGACTCAGATTATGGGGTTCCAAGGGGGTGGTGATCATCATATTTTACCTGAAGTCTCATATGTGCTAGAGAAGACTTTTGAAGCAGTGGATGGAGGGCTGTAACTTTATTTATATTAATTCAAATTGGCTGTTGCTACCATAATTTCGTTATAAAAATCACAATTTGGTTATAGAAATCAAATTTCAGGGTGGACCTTGATTCTCATTTCTCTTGCCCATGAATCAGTGAATCGTAGAGAAGAAAACAATTTATATGTGTAGACTAAAGAAAGAGGGAGTTTTTCCCGTTAAAGTAACTTGTGGCCACATCCCGTTAGAAGTGAGTAAACTGTGCCACTATTTCATGGTCCACGGTGGATTGATTACTGGAGCAGTTGAAGATGCAAAGCCAAGATGTTCCCCAATACCAAGCGGTGGGCAGGAAATTAAGCTCCGGCTGACCTTCAGAGCAGTAGCCCCATTAGCGGACAAATGAAAGTGTTGTTAAGACAACAATACAACTTCGAATTTGACGGTCAGCAGCAGGGGTATATCAATAATGATAATGGAGGGGACATTAGCGATAATGAGAATGAGAATACGCTTTAATGAAGATTTGACTTATTATTGCTTAGATTTATTTTCCTTTAAATAGACGTGTCTTTTTTTCTATTTCTGAGTAATATCAATAACTGTAAATTGAAATAACTTCTTTAACAAGCAACAAAAACAGAAATTTCGGTTGAAAATTTGTTGACCTCTGAAAAAAAACTTGAAAGGTCGGCCACCGGTAAATACATGACCGGGATAATTTGGCGGGTTTTGGGAAAATCCGCCATATTTTTCCCGGTCATTAATTTTCCCAGTCATAAATTAACCCGCTATAATATTCCCGAGTAAGGTATGACAAGAGATATTGGCGGAAATTGCAATGAAGTTTTTAATTTTTAGTTTTTGTTTTAGGGAAAGATTAGACTTGGGCGTTGTTTTTTAACTATCCCTTGTTTAGAACTTTGAATTAATAATTACTATAATATGAAAGATATCATGACGGAAGATTCGCGTTCGACAAACTTGTAACAGAACATTTACCCACTAAATTTCTACATGCCATTGATGCCTTACATTGAATTAAGTTTTATACTATAGTGGAAAGATATATATTAGATTAGTGGTAGAGATTTCTGATGATAATAAAAGAGGGTCTCAAAGTGTTTCCATTGGAAACACTAGGAACTCAGAACTAAAGTATACTAATTCTAAACGTATGTTGACGGTTGCGTTAGTCCGGTAATGATTTTATTGATTTTCATTAAATATAGTATTTTTATGACTATGAGTATTTTGATTGTGACCTTACTGACAAATTCTAAAAACCCCAAAATTCTAAATCGATTACTTTTAAAAGTCACAGTCGTGTCAAATGGAGTATGTAGTCATGTGTAGCCAGTCCACACTCTGATTCCATAATTATATGATCATGAAGGACTTAACCAAAAAGCTCGAATAAGTTCGGTTGATTTCCCCACCTAAAGATTACAAATACAATCATGAACACCACAGCTACCAGCAGCGTATTAGTTTTAATATTAACACTTTGTCTTATTGCGAAACACGAGATTTCCGTTTTCTAGCCAACTCCTTTGTACGTCTAATTGCAGGTTCTTTCTCAACAAGGGCTTATACTGTGACATGAGCCGTTCTTAGCTTGTTTTGATTGGGTTATGAATAAACTTAAACGTGTTGTTTAATTCATGGAACTAAAGCTGGCCAAAAATAGATGTATATCTATTGTTTTTATATTTTCTTTGAGTTTAAACCAATTACTTTCCTTTTGTATGCATTGTATCAATTAAATTGGTGATCTTTTATACGCAAATCTATTCATTATCTCCTTTACGAACACGGTTCATTTCGCAAGAATTCCCTCCCTTAGCTTGTGGTCTTAGAACTGCTATTTCAATTCTATTGTAGCGCAAGCTGAGCACAATAGATTGCAAATCAAAACAGGTATAATTGTATATCTTGTGCGGTTTCGTCCTGACATCTTAGTTATTGGCAACATAATGAGCGAACAAAGCGTCAGATTAAACCATTAATTCAATCTTCTCAACTTCACAAAGCAAAGATTAAACGCCCTGTCAGCCACGTGACAGGCGCTTGGCTCAGGACCAATCACGGAGAGCCGGGACCTGTCACGTGGTATACCTCTTGTGACCATGGTTATATTGAACTCTGCGTTGAGGTGTGCACGTGCTAGACGCAACGAGATTAGAAACTCGGCTGAGGGAATTATTTAAGAACTGATCGTGAGGAGGGCTTCAGCTCATTTCTGGTTTAACTCTTTTCATACGCCCCTTGACTCACAGAACCCTTTTCAGTGAAGAACTTTGGTGAGTTGTTATAGTTCTTAGAATTGATTCTTAGTTGTTACAATTCTTAGAATTTATTCAATACGTTATCCTGATCCATTCGATAGCTCATATGAAATTAAATTATAAGCAGATTCATGACCATATAGTACCCCATATATTGGATTTATTCGAGCTTCATAACTAATATTAAGTTTAACAGCTTAACAACTTTAGAAAAGTGGGTTTTAACGCCATGTATTTCAGGAAGAGTAGCCTATATGAAGGTTTTAATCCCAATATTTGCCTTGTTGGCCGTGTGCATCGCACGAGAAGGAACAAGCGACGATGAAGCCGACATCAAAGTTTTATTTGACAGTAAGTAACGATAAAAGTTTGTTTTTTTAGTAACTTATTTTTAGCTACAAAGTATAACACATGCTTTAATGTTAAACTTTTTTTTCCGACTTCAATAGCCCTCTTAAGGTTTTATTTTGATCGAGTAAAATTTCCCTACTAGTACTATGCTTATAATAACTATAGTAACAATAGTAACTAAACTTATAGCAACTAAAGTAACTATAGCAACTAAAGTAACTATAGCAACTAAAGTAACTATAGCAACTAAAGTAACTATAGCAACTAAAGTAACTATAGCAACTAAAGTAACTATATAGTAACTATAGTAACTAAAGTAACTATAGCAACTATGGCAACTAAAGTAACTAAAGTAACTATAGCAACTATAGAACTATAGTAACTAAAGTAACTAAAGTAAATAAAGTAACTATAGCAACTAAAGTAACTAAAGTAACTAAAGTAACTAAAGTAACTAAAGTAACTAAAGTAACTATAGTAACTATAGTAACTAAAGTAACTATAGCAACTAAAGTAACTATAGCAACTAAAGTAACTATAGCAACTAAAGTAACTTTAGTAACCCACTCCAACTACAGATGCGCTGGCTGAGGATGACGTCACGTTAACCCCTGATGATTATGAAGAGAGGCTCGCTATATTCGTTCTTAACTTCCTTTCTGGAGACGATGACGAGTAAGTTATTTCTTTAAAATTTTAATTTTTGATATTTTTAAAGCCACTTAAACATTTGCTGTATAGATTTTTTTCGTTCATCATGTACAATGCAAACAAAATAGTAAACAGTTGCTTCCGCCAAAATTAAAACAAATGTCCGTTTGTCATGTCGAATACAGTTATTTCAAAAGATAGCTGTGTCCAAGCACAAGGATTTATATTTTTTTGTGAGGCAACATTTTGCCCCTTGATCGCTAAACTTGTGAACGTACAAACAAATATTCTTATATTAGTACCCTTCACATATTTGACATTACTATTAGTATCATACCTTCACACATCAGCTATTAGTATTATTCTCTCATACCTTCACAATATTAGTCTATATAGTTTCATTATTATAATTTCAGTGATATCGATTTGGACTTGATGTTCACCGCAGAGGAACTTACAGCTATGAACGGAGCAAAATTGGTACCCGGACTCAAATCAAAACTTCAAGAGGAACTTGCGAAAAGGGTAATTAAGATCATTGTACTCGTAACATATTTAAGCATTTAAAACTACTCAACGATTTAATAAATCTGCACAGTTGAGATATCTTCAAATATCAAAGTACTGATTACCAGAGTCAATGATTAATTAGTTGTTCAATTTTTTCTCAGTCTTTGATCGATCATAGAATAATTTTTGGATTTTAAAATTAATAGCACTATAATATATTTGCACATCATACAATTTCCAAATTCAGATATAGCTTTACAAATCTCACCAAACAAATCCCCCAGGGAATTGACCCTTTTGAGGAGCTCAACAAGAGGTCGGTAGCTTATTACGACGGACGAAGAAGTGGAGGAAGAACTATTGTCAACACAGCCGTCCATCAGGGAGTCTGTGGAAACTGTTATCTTCACACTTGTAAGTTCAAATAAAGTCCGATAAGGCAGTTAAATCAAATACCGATAATAAATGCCTTCGAGCGTTCAAAATCATGTCCGTTCAAAATTGTGTGTAAAACAAATTCCGATAAGGTAATACTTATTGTGCACTCCTCAGTTATTGCCGCTTTGGAAATCGCCTACGCTAAAGCAACCGGACAGGTCATCAAATTCAGTGAACAGGAAATGACAGATTGCTACAACAATGGTTGCGAGGGTGGAGATTACAAGATGGTTACTATTACTATGGGTTATTTGGACAAGCTGAGCTCAAAAGTTGGATATGGAGATTATCTGTCTAAACAGCTAACTTGCAGAATGGACACTACTCCCGATGCTCTCAAGGCTATCAAAGTAAATTTCACTTTCACTTTCAAATTCACTTTCTCTTTAACTTTCACTTTCTCGCCATCAAGGTCACACACTTGTTCGTTATATTTTATTTTATTTTCACTTTATGGTTCAATTTGATGTGCAATAGAGATATACCAATATTTCATTATTGACATGGGAAATTAGAGGTTTCTGAAAGTAAACTTACACGAGAATTATCCTCTTGTCAGGTTGTAGATTTCGTGAAACGTTGTAAATAATTTGTAAATAACTTGTAAATAACTTGAAATAATTTGTAACTCCAGCTTCTGGTCAGGTTGTAGATTTCGTAGATGTGACCCCTGCCAACGTTGAAGTTGCCATCAGGAAGTACGGAAGTGTTATGACGTGCATGAAGTGGGGTGGACCTGGACAAGCTTGTGACATGTCCAACTACCGCAGGGGTTAGTCAATTAGTCGATTAGTTAATTACAAGGAAATTATAAGTCTGTTACAAGTCAATAAAAAGTCAATAAAAAGTCAATTACAAGTCAAGAACCAGAAGCTATAATTAAAGGTGGTTAAATAATAAATTTCGCCATATACGGTATTATTCACGAGCAGGATGATTACAAGACTAACACATTTATCTAATCCCCATTACTAACGCATTTATCTGCCCCAGGAGCTGTTGTAAACTACCCTGCATACCCCAAGGGCTGTGACCACGCTGTCCTGATTGTTGGATACACCCCTCATTATTACCTGATCAGGAACTCTCACGGTGCCAACTGGGGAGACCGGGGATACTTCAAGATCCGACGAGGAACCAACTCGTGTGGTGTTGAACAGGTTTGTTTGTTGTCAAAATCAATTTTAAATCTCAAATACTTTCAGTCTTGCAAGGAAAATAAAATGTTTTTCAGCTGAGTGATTCTAACATTACAGTAACCGAGTTCTGCAGTAAATGTAAACAAAATCATTTCTCATAAACAAAAATACAGGACATGGCAGCTGTGGTAACGGAGGTGCGAGGTAACAAGGGTGGTATCACTTCAAGTGGATGTCCTGCTGATAAGCCTTATCTTTGCGCAAAGATCAACACTTGCTCCGCTGTCCGATCTTGTACTTCTGCTATCTCCGTGAGTTTATATTAATTATTGAACTAATTAATTAATTGAACTAATCAAATTTTTTTGGATATTATATAAATTTGTAATGTCAAATGTGAAAGTTAAGATTGTCCAGAATTTTGATCAGTCTAAGATATACAATTCAACAAATTTACAAACGTTTGATATTAAATGATTGCTTTAGAGATTATTGTTATTGTATAGTATAAGAGTATAGTAGGTATACTTAGGTATAGTATCCAGAATCATATAATTACTTGTTTAAATTCTCTAATACATTAACAAACAGGAAAGAGAGGAGGAAGTAATCGTCGCCGAAGAAGAGGTTATCGAACAGATGCTTGCTGAAGAAGTTGAAGAAGAGGTTATGGCCGAAGAAGAAGAAGTTGTTGAGGTTGAGGTTGAAGAAAGAGAAGCTAGCGATGAGGAGGAGGTTCAGCTTGAAAAGAGAGAAGTCAGAATTCCTGGAGAAAAGAAGAAGAGAGAAGTTAGAGTACCTGGAAAACTGCAGAGAATACTAAAAAAGGTAACCGAAAGTTGATTAATCTGAAATAGTTAAATGAAAGGAATCCCGAAATAAAATTAGTGGGGGGGGGGGGGGGGGGAAAGGGGCATGTTAATGTTGTATTATCTTTTAGTTCATATTTCAAATTTAATGTCTAAACTTTTTATACGACCGAAGTTTTTGTTTGCATCACAAATAATTGTTAACGGCCGTTTTAAAATTTTGGACTTAGCCTTTTGGTCGAAGACTTTGCAGCCGATAATGCTTCCAGCTGAAAAAACTGTTCACATCAGGCCGAAAGGGTTAACTTTGATTTAACGCTGCCAAAATTAAAATGGGTGCAAAGTTTGCCGGATTTTCAGACTGTTTCGTAGGCCAATCCTAAGTACTAAAGTATGGCCACTGAGAGTAGGAAGAGCTCAATGCTGAAGAAGAAAACTTTGAGGAGAGAGAGGACGGAAAAAGGAAGAAGAACAAAAATAGTGTCCGAATACCCGGAAAATTGCAAAGAATGCTCAAAAAGGTACCTTGTCGCCCCAGGTTGTTTTAAAGGCCAGAAACGCTACAGAAGCTGGATAAACTTTTGTTCCAGACATTTTGTTGCTACTCTAAAAGTCTGAAAAATGATGGTTGACCCTATTATGGCATTATGCATGCTAAAAGATGTTTTGAAAGCCTGATCTTTGCCGGCCTAAAGTCAACCGAAAAATCGAAGAATTGACCGGACCTTTGTTCACCGACTAAAGGACATCTAAAATTTATGTCGCTGAACCTTGTCCCGAATCGAATGCAAAAACCAAATTCTATTGTTGGTAATTGGTATATTTAAAAAAGTAAACATAAAAGTAAAAAAACATCTGTTTCAAATGCTCAGAATTTGCAAGGTTGTTTTTGCTATAAGTTAATTTGAAAACTTTTCAGAGAGGAGCATCCGAGGAGGCTCTTGCTGAATACTTTGCTGAAAGAGAGGCTGACGAAGAGTTGGCCGAGGAACTGGAAAAGAGATGTGCTGATCGATCCAGCGTGTAAGTCATGCTATTTTTACTTTACTTTGTTATATTCCTGTTACACTTTTCATCAAACAATTGGGGTTAGCAGATTATTTTTATTTGCTGCTTACAATTCATCAGCGGATACTTGCACAATTAAGTAACACATTGATCGTAATAAAAAGAAATCAATTTTAAATAAATAAATAAATCAATTAATAGATATTCTAAAATTTCAGATGTGCGAGAATGAAGGCTTCTGGTCAACTCAAATGTGCTGGTAGATATTTGGCTTTCTGTTCTAAAACATGTGGAGCCTGCGGGTATGGTTAATTATCTTATTTATGCTAAAAATATGTTAAACATTCCTTATTTATGCTAAAAATATGTTAAACATTCCTACCAAATGTAATGAGTGGTACGTAGCCAGTATCAACAGGCAAAACTGCCTGGTTTATACTCGGTACTTACAGCCACAGTTAATCAAACAATCCTCATATATGAGATTTTAGAGAGGTTCGCTGTTTATCAGTCTCATGATAAGATAATTTTAATACTTTCAACGCTACTATATAACAAATAATTTGAGCCTGATGAAAGTGTAGCACACTAAAAGCTCGCGTTTTCTCCTAAACAGTAGTTTCAGTTGTCCTATCCAGTCTCTACTACCGGATATTATCCCTAAAATCATAATCCTCATATATAGTCATTAGTCATTTATTCCATTTTTGTTCTCAGAAATCACATTTTTAAATTTTCAGTTCGGCCCCCGCTCCTAAGGTTAAACCTACTGGAGAAAAGCAAGGAAAATGTATCAAACCAACTATTGCCAACGGTAAGTTATTAATACTCCTGCAACTAATTAACTTAAAATAACTTAAAATAACTTAGAATAACTTAAAATAACTTAAAATAACTTAAAATAACTTAAAATAACTTAAAATAACTTAAAATAACTTAAAATAACTTAAAATAACTTAAAATAACTTAAAATAACTTAAAATAACTTAAAATAACTTAAAATAACTTAAAATAACTTAAAATAACTTAAAATAACTTAAAATAACTTAAAATAACTTAAAATAACTTAAAATAACTTAAAATAACTTAAAATAACTTAAAATAACTTAAAATAACTTAAATAAAATCAACTTTAAAATAAATTAAAACTGACACTAATGTTTTGTTCAGGTCGTGTAGGTAACGGCAATATCATGCAGCCCGGTGAAGCCTTAAACGTAAGTATTTAACTTAAATTTAACTTCAACTTTAATATATACTACTACTACTACTACTATGTCGGAGCTAAGTCCGATCTACGCCAGAAAACCCCCTCCATATATCCCTGTCCCGCATCAGGGTTCGCAGTTCCTCTTTAGAGTTTGTCCCAACTTCCTTCAGTAACATAGACAAGTAGCTTTGTCTTGGTCGGCCTTGCTGTGCTCTACCGTGCGTAGGTTCCCATAAGACTAAATCACTGGCAAGTAGCTCAGGATATATGTACTTTTCTTTAAGCATGGAAATGTATCACTATTAAAATCAATAATGAAATTAATAGCTTATCATCACTCTGCACATTTGAATGAAATAAATTTCTTGACCTCCATTTTGCCATGGAATACAAGTTTCTGTAATACTTACAGTTTACATGATATTAAGCTTCTGTAATTCAGATCTAATTCGGATATGATTCTTATAAAATTCTGATCTAATTGTGATCTGTTCAGATAAGATGTAACCCCGGTTACACTTTGGTTGGAGGCAAAGCCACTTGTCTGATCCAGAACATTTTTACTAACGCAGAAAAAGATGGCCGTCTTCACCCTGAGTGTGTCAAGGTACGTGTTTTATAATGACTACTCACATATTCACATATTCACATATTCACATATTCACATATTCACATATTGTGTCAAGGTACGTGTTTTATAATGACTACTCACATATTCACATATTCACATAGTGTGTCAAGGTACGTGTTTTATAATGACTACTCACATATTCACATATTCACATATTCACATAGTGTGTCAAGGTACGTGTTCTATAATGACTACTCACATATTCACATATTCACATATTCACATAGTGTGTCAAGGTAGGTGTTTTATAATGACTACTCACATACTCACATATTCACATATTTGTATTTTATTTATCATATTCTGATTCAAGGTCCTTCAGATCTTAGTCCTTGGTGAAATGATGATAAATTAATAATTAATTAATGATAATGTATGACTAATTATCTCTAATTATCACTAAACAATCGCAAATTCCACAGTTGGGAGGAAATAGTTTGTCTGGTAACGGTGCCAGCTACACTGGAAACCAGAACACTTACACTGTCGGACCCATGACTTACGAGTGTGACAGCTGGAACAAAGACGTTTTGAGAGGTTAGTTCTTGTTGTTATAGTAACTATGGGGTTTTGAGAGGTTAGTTCTTGTTGTTATGGAGTTATGGTAACTAGGGGGTTTTGAGAGGTTAGTTCTTGTTGTTATAGTAACTAGGGGGTTTTGAGAGGTTAGTTCTTATTGTTATGAGGTTATGGTAACTAGGGGGGTTTGAGAGGTTAGTTCTTGTTGTTATAGTAACACTAACTATGGGGTATTGAGAGGTAAGTTCTTGTTATCATATTTATAGTAAATCGTAAACAATTTATATATTTTTAATACTCCCTTGTTTCAGGAATTTTGATGAACGAGAAACACGCCATGGCCCTCGCCATCGGAAATCACAATTACTGCAGAAACCCCGGTGGTGTTGAGGTATTTAAAAAACTTAATTAACTTAATTTGGTTAAAATAATTTATAAATAAAGAAACTTCTGGAAATAATCTTATTTAAATCTAAATTTAGTGCTTATTTCACTCCTTTTCAGCCAGTACCATTCTGTTTGGGAGCCGCTACCGGAATTGGTAAAATAAATTATTGTTTCGGACACCCCGGATGTGATACTTGCGCTGGAGCTGCTGACAAATACGGAGCTGATTATTGTGGTGACGCAAGGTAAAACTTAATGGAAACAAACTATTATTACTTACTTAGGGTTCAGATTCGTTACTCTTAACGAACGTGCTTTAACAACTAAAACTAAAACTCTTTCAGAAACCTGAGGTTCTGCCTGTACACTGACAAGGCTTCAGCCAACAGAGTTGCAGCTATCCAAGGGAACTGTGCTGCTACTTGCTGTGCTATTGCTGGGTGTTAAACAACGATGATGTCACCACGCAGTGACGTCATCACGCGATGACGTCGTCGTGTTATGACGTGGTCTCGTAAGAACAGCTGAGAGTATTGCTATGCAATATTGGCTGATTAACGGAAATGGACATGAATTTATCACGGACAATGGACATTTTCAATTGATTTCATATTTTCATAAAATTTGTACTTTGAATATAATGAAATTTTGTTAATAAGTGTGATGAATATAACGAATTGCAATGAATTTCGGTATTTTATTTCTACTAAACAGTAAAATTGCGCCCACTCCCTGGACGGAAAAAATAAGCTTATTCATTAAATTATAATATGCATTATGCCTCACTGCTCCAGCCTCCAATTGTAAAAGTAAAATATATTGCCGCCACGGGTGCTACACTACACTACTAGCACAGGTGCTACACTACACTACTAGCACGGGTGCTACACTACACTACTAGCACGGGTGCTACACTACACTACTAGCACAGTAGCACGGGTGCTATGACCACTTTAATTAGTTCAGGTGGTCAAAAATCGCATTATTAACTGTAATTAGGCTATCCATTATCGGTATGAAATCTTTTATCTAGATAAACAGATAACGATTTAGGTTTTATCTAGATAAAACCGATAAATTTTCTGCTGAAGTTAAAAGCCAAAATTTCACTAGATCTAATTGGCGACTGTTATCATTGTTTACCAGTAAACTTGGTACAGCACCATTTCCTTTCTTTTGAAAATATCAGAGCACCAGTTTCCTTCTCCTGACAATAGGGGTGCACATTCTCCAGAATCCAGATAACAGTAAAGCATCAGATTTCTTCTCCTGAGAACAGTAGATTATCGGTGAATCGTTTTCTTCTCCTATGGAAGATTTGGACCAACAGATCCGTCTCCTAGGGAAAATGTATTGCCCCAGAACACTTCTAGAATTTAATTGAGTGCTATGCCGGTATTCCTGACTCCTGTTAACAGTAACATTCTGGTGCCTGATTCCATAATGATTGTAAGCTAAAATGCCAACACACTCGTTAAGAGAACAATGTCAATAGCATTAAGCTCACAACCAAGTAAACTGCCTCTCTTATCAGTTATCATACTAGAAGACGTTTGGGGCTGTTTCTTGGATAACTTGGGAAAAAGGAAAACCAAACCACTCAAATTTCCTTGAAAAGTCACTAAGATATTTTTTAAATTTAACTGTATTGCGGCAGTATTTTCGGTAATTTGAAGTAAATTTTTATACCGATAAAAATACATTTTATCTAGATGAACAGATAACTTTTATTGGCGAATTATCAGAGATAATTGTCGGTTACGATTATCGGAGTGTAATGGTACACCTTAAGCTTTTAAGCCTCCAATTTTTCATTCACCAATGGTAGTGGTACCAGCTGTATAGTACAACTACAGTAGCGTGTAGTCATTGGGAAGTGTTGTTGAGTTATTTGTGAATTGTGACTCTATACTCACTGATGTCATCAGTAATGATGAAGTGGATTCTTATTTCATCTTTACTTGCAGTAGGTACATGAAAGACATGAATAACTATATAATATGTCCGACAGTCATGGACAAAATGAAATAGTACGTGATAAAATAGACCTGAAGTGTAAACCATAAAGACCGCTATCTTCACTCTACGGTAATCCTAACAAATAACAACATGAGCTGGACATCTCACCTCATCTTCTTCATAGGAAGCGTTACTTCCCGCGTGTGAAACCCCATTAAAATTCATAATGTGATAACTTTAAGATCACGTATTTACTAGACTAGATGAATTTAACTCTCGTGTTATACGTTGTGAAGGTTGTTGTTTCGGATGTTGGGTACTTTAACCTTGATGGGTGTTAGAACATTGTTGTTGTTGTTGTTAGAATGTCTCTATATTTTGTAAATATTGTTATAATTATAATGAACTCCGAGGTTTTTTTAGTGTGCACAACATTATGAGCATATTACTGTATTACTGTGTTCTTCGCATGTATAATGAAAACGTACGCGGTGTCCCTTGTTAGTGAGATGTCTCCATGACGATTAACCAACACTAGAGCTATCATGGAGACCGGCCACAGTTCAGTCCGGCCACAGTTCAGTAACGAGACGTCCTGTGCTGTGATAAATATTTAAATAGCATTCCCCAAAAACTGTAAACGTAAAGCGAGTACTGGGTTTTAGCGACATGGTGGAACAATTATCGGGGGTTTCTAGAATTTTTGCTAATAAAGTAGAATTAAACACTGGAACATATATAATTGTTTCGAAAATTCTCCTGATTTTTGTCTAATTATCACAATACTTCGAATAAATTTTTTTTCCAGAAAAGAACGTTTTGAACAATCGTTCCTTTTGTAGCAGAACATGGTATTACAAAGGTTTTCATTATCAGGAAATAATTATCTATAAAAATAATAAAATTTAAATCTTGTTAAAAACAAAACGTTTGAAGCTTTGCATAAGACAATCACCAAACAATTTACCAACGCTAAGAACCCTACATTTAGCAGAACAGAAAATACCGGTTTTCACTGATAGCCGTAATTAATAATTATATCAAATTAATTCCTGATTACAAAAACCTTTGTAATATACCTACGGCCTTTGTTCTCAAACGCTCCATTACTCTGCAAAAACATTTTGCTCGTATTACAATTTATAATTTAAGTCAATCGTCTCTGCACACTTATAAGATAAGAAAATATTGAAGGTCTGAAATTAAAACGTTATCTAAAATCACTTATTCTCCGATATCTGAACCATTCACTGGTGAATGGCCACAACAAATACAGGGTGGGCCAAAAGTCAGTACCCATACGTTGGCCTTAATAGCTCCGCCGTGTTTTATATTTGAGAGCTGTTGCTTTGCAGATGGCATACTGTACTTACTGGTTCGAGGATTCCGTCGTCAAAATTTGAAAATTCGAATATTTTAGACCACGCCCATTCAATATTAAAACACCTATATTGTTTTCTCTGAACATGCTGAACGCCTAATTTTTTCAGAGACGGTAGATTATTAAATGTTGCATATGATCTAAAAACATGAGGCAAAACGGATTAGAAATGACGAAGTTATCAAGCATTTTCTGTAACTCGTTAACAAAATTGACTGGGTGATTATGTGACACCGTGACACGACACCATAATTGGGCACCCTTAACAATTCCCATAAAGTTTAACGGGGTAGTTAACGGGGGCACCTTATCACATGATTAGGTAAACCAATCACCTGATCACACGTAATGAATAAACTCGTTATGCTTCATATCTCGGTCATCTGAGAAGCTACAGTTCTAATTCTTTCAGGACAAACGTAATTCGAATAGCCAAACACAATTCAATAACATTTAGTTTGATCCGACTATCCAAACTATCAAATAAATGTGAAAATGAACCTCCATTTGAAAAAAATGAACGCGAATATTTTTCGAGTTGACAAATTCCTCGAACCAGTGGTGGTACTAAGTCATACCAGAAAGAAGTATTTAAATTGGGCACTCAGTGACTGAGCTATAAAGGCCAACGTATGGGTACTGACTTTTGGCCCACCCTGTATAATTATTGTTTAATTAAAGTAATTATTCACAGATCAGGGACGGTCGAGCCTACAACTTTATTATCATTCACAGTAAAATACCGAGACTGGGTAATGGGTCGGTACCGCGCTTTTTTGACCGGGACCGGTACGGCGGTACCGGGACTGGAAGTGTTGGTACCATGCATGAAGCCTTATCGGTACTTTTGATATTCAGAATCAATTATTTGATTTACTTACAATTACGGTGAAAATAATTGATTAAAAAACAAAACGTACCTAAATAATTCTTGAAACCTCTGAAGTATCATTGAAACGCGGATCAAAGAAATAACACTCACTTTACACAGTCCATATAAACAGAGGTAGTCTACACAATGGTATTGTTCACACAATGGTCACACAGAGGTCACACAGTGGTCACACAGTGGTCACACAGAGGTCACACAGAGGTCACACAGTGGTCACACAGTGGTCACACAGTGGTCACACAGTGGTCACACAGTGGTCACACAGTGGTCACACAGAGGTCACACAGTGGTCACACAGAGGTCACACAGTGGTCACACAGTGGTCACACAGTGGTCACACAGTGGTCACACAGTGGTCACACAGTGGTCACACAGAGGTCACACAGTGGTCACACAGTGGTCACACAGTGGTCACACAGTGGTCACACAGTGGTCACACAGAGGTCACACAGTGGTCACACAGAGGTCACACAGAGGTCACACAGTGGTCACACAGAGGTCACACAGTGGTCACACAGTGGTCACACAGTGGTCACACAGAGGTCACACAGAGGTCACACAGTGGTCACACAGAGGTCACACAGTGGTCACACAGTGGTCACACAGTGGTCACACAGAGGTCACACAGAGGTCACACAGAGGTCAATAAGTGGTCACACAGTGGTCACACAGAGGTCACACAGAGGTCAATAAGTGGTCACACAGTGCTCACACAGAGGTCACACAGGGGTCACACAGGGGTCACACAGTGGTCACACAGTGGTCACACAGTGGTCACACAGAGGTCACACAGTGGTCACACAGAGGTCACACAGTGGTCACACAGAGGTCACACAGTGGTCACACAGTGGTCACACAGTGGTCACACAGAGGTCACACAGAGGTCACACAGAGGTCAATAAGTGGTCACACAGTGGTCACACAGAGGTCACACAGAGGTCAATAAGTGGTCACACAGTGCTCACACAGAGGTCACACAGGGGTCACACAGGGGTCACACAGTGGTCACACAGTGGTCACACAGTGGTCACACAGAGGTCACACAGTGGTCACACAGAGGTCACACAGTGGTCACACAGAGGTCACACAGTGGTCACACAGTGGTCACACAGTGGTCACACAGAGGTCACACAGAGGTCACACAGAGGTCAATAAGTGGTCACACAGTGGTCACACAGAGGTCACACAGAGGTCAATAAGTGGTCACACAGTGGTCAAACAGAGGTCACACAGAGGTCACACAGTGGTCTATAACACGGCCTCAATCCTCATCTGTCCTTGTTCATGTTTAAAAACTGGTCGGTTTGCGTTATCAGTTACTCATTCAGCTCCTGAAATTCTGTAATCCAAATCTAAATTAGCTGATAATTTGATATATTTGTGCCGATACAAAACGTGCTCCCGGAGTCTGAATCTGATGACTGGCCGATGTGTGCACGTGACCTTATATGGGCATCACGTGGTACACGTGACCTTATATGGGCATCACGTGGTACAATGTGACATTTCTTTGTTATCTGGCGCGTCACTGCAATTATCATCATTTATTAGGGTGGTATTTTCGAGTATAAACTTATTAATATTATTATTTTATTTTCATTCGAAGGAATGGAACGTTTTTTGGGCTGATTTAAGAGTTGTGATGACATTAAGATTCGTTCTTATGTATATATCACAAAATTGGACTGTAAGTTACCAGTTGCGAGATTGACTGATGAATTGAGCACTTATTTCGAAGAGACTTATTTCAAGTGTTTCACTGCCCGACCATGCGTGGTCAAGTGGGCGGGCTTTGATTACTTTACTTTCGCGGCCTCTCATTATTTTTCATAGCTTTATCTTACAAAGTGAGGCCAGTTAAAAATGATAAGGTGTGTGCACATATTAAATTACACCGTACTTCATTTTATCTAGAATGGAAGTGATCGAACATCCAAAAATATACCGCTGTCCAATCAACTTTGCCACTTTAACTGTAGGAATGATAACGGTTTTAGAATTCAGATTTCAGTTCCCATACATTTTCTTTCTTGTAATTGTGCTTTTTTGTTCGGTTGCCCGATTTGTGTTTAAATCAATTTTTGGTTGATTATCTAATTTCTATTAGAACAACTGTGGCACAATTTTAAATATTCTTTCAGTAAAACGTTTAGTTAAACTTAACACAGAATCTATTTTAGGACGCAGTTTTTGACTGCCGTAGCGCCAGTCATTCAGAACAATAACCCGACTACAGAAAATCTCTCACAAAAATTGATTTCGCCTTGAACAAGGCGCTCACTCCACTCGCTAACATTCAGATGTGAGTATTGTGAAACACAAGGAAATGTTTTTAAAGGAATTAAGAAAATATTTGATACCCCTTTGAAAATACCATTTCCATAATTTGGCAAACACAAAAAATCAGTTCGTTGAAACATCATTTGAATAACAAAATTTACGATTCATTTTCAGTTTAAAACAATCTGTAAACATCAATCGACGAAATGACAAAACCAACAATAATTGAACCAATCGCAAATCCTGCTGTCGTGGCAAATTTTAACGGTTTGGAGAGACAAGGGAGCTACGGATCTATTAAAACTGACTTTGAGGGAAATGGGGTCAAGTCGTTTGCTTTAGAGTAAGTTAAGTGTAGTTGTTGTATTATTGAGCTATTGATTAATCAAATAATTATAATTCAATTTTGACCATCTTCTATGTCTTAAGGACTGATAAAATTGTTTAAAATGAAAAGGAGCCATAAAAATGAGTTCAAAAGAAAGATATCAAACACGGTATTTACTGCATGATCCCCGGTCAGTCATTCCTAACTGTGTGCAACAATCTCGAAATGATGAATTTAAAAATATTATAACTGATTAGTGATAAAAATGGTTGTTAAAAGTAAAAATCTATTGCATTGACAACTTCAGGACCTCCCATGTGGAAATAGCTGTGCCGGACCTTGAAAGAACACTGACTCTGTTTCATACTGTCTCTATCGCTGTCGGACAAATCATCGGGTCAGGTAAGATTGTAAATGTAAATGTTCCCTTGTGTTTTACTTCTGTCATAGGATGACTATAGTGAGCAGCAGTGAGCAGCAGTTAGCAGCAGTGAGCAGCAGTGAGCAGCAGTTTCTTTGCACTATAGTCCTCCTGTGCTGTGCATTTTACAAATATATTATTAACGAAAACTTATGATTTATTACTAATCGGTATCAAGCATAGCATCTTCTTCAGGTATCTTTATCTCTCCAAATGTTATCCTTAAAGGGGTCGGATCTATGGGGCTATCGTTAATCATCTGGACTCTTGGCGGGCTACTTTCACTCTGCGGTAATACAATTTCTAAGATATGTGTGCCTGTAAATTCCTCGCAATACTATAACTACTTAACTGTAATTACCATATGTTTTAGTCACCTAGTGGTTAGCAATTTGATTTGCTTAGTTAAAAAAATGCAAATGCATGAGATTTTATCAAATCATCGAACGTGTACTTCTTTTTTCATCATCTCTGTGAGTTGCGTAAAGACATGGTATAGATACAATTAAAAATCAAAAATTGTATCTATACCATTTTAAAATGTAGTAGTAGTAGTAGTAGTAAACCCGCGATGGGGTGGCATGTGCCTCAATAAAAATATTACAATCATTTATTATTATATCAATTTATCATTAAATATTTCAACAATAAAGAAAATAAATGAATGTGATTATAAAACCGTTGTGCGCGCAGGAGCACTGTGTTTCGGAGAACTGGGAGCTATTTGTCCTAAAGCCGGTGGGGAGTATCAGTACATTAAGATGACTTACGGGAGAATGGCTTCTTTTGCTAACCTCTGGGTTTTGCTTATTGTGAACTCCATGGGTAGGTGCCTGTGTTATTCAATCATTAATTATCATTAATTATCATTATGGGTAGGTGCCTGTGTTATTCAATCATTAATTATCATTAATTATCATTATGGGTAGGTGCCTGTGTTATTCAATCATTAATTATCATTATAGGTAGGTGACTGTGTTATTCAATCATTAATTATCATTATAGGTAGGTGACTGTGTTATTCAATCATTAATTATCATTAATTATCATTATGGGTAGGTGCCTGTGTTATTCAATCATTAATTATCATTATAGGTAGGTGACTGTGTTATTCAATCATTAATTATCATTATAGGTAGGTGACTGTGTTATTCAATCATTAATTATCATTAATTATCATTATGGGTAGGTGCCTGTGTTATTCAATCATTAATTATCATTAATTATCATTATGGGTAGGTGCCTGTGTTATTCAATCATTAATTATCATTAATTATCACTATGGGTAGGTGCCTGTGTTATTCAATCATTAATTATCATTAATTATCATTATGGGTAGGTGCCTGTGTTATTCAATCATTATCATTAATTATCATTAATTATCATTAATTATCACTATGGGTAGGTGCCTGTGTTATTCAATCATTATCATTAATTATCATTAATTATCATTAATTATCATTAATTATCATTAATTATCACTATGGGTAGGTGCCTGTGTTATTCAATCATTATCATTAATTATCATTAATTATCATTAATTATCATTAATTATCACTATGGGTAGGTGCCTGTGTTATTCAATCATTATCATTAATTATCATTAATTATCATTAATTATCACTATGGGTAGGTGCCTGTGTTATTCAATCATTATCATTAATTATCATTAATTATCATTAATTATCACTATGGGTAGGTGCCTGTGATATTCAATCAATAATTATCATTAATTATCACTATGGGTAGGTGCAGCTGTGTTATTCAATCATTAATTATCATTAATTATCATTATGGGTAGGTGCAGCTGTGTTATTCAATCATTAATTATCATTAATTATCATTATGGGTAGGTGCAGCTGTGTTATTCAATCATTAATTATCATTAATTATCATTATGGGTAGGTGCAGCTGTGTTATTCAATCATTAATTATCATTAATTATCATTATGGGTAGGTGCAGCTGTGTTATTCAATCATTAATTATCATTAATTATCATTATAGGTAGGTGCAGCTGTGTTATTCAATCATTAATTATCATTAATTATCATTATGGGTAGGTGCCTGTGTTATTCAATCATTAATTATCATTAATTATCATTATGGGTAGGTGCCTGTGTTATTCAATTAATTATCATTAATTATGTGCATTATTTCCTTCCAATAATAAAACTATGATATTGTAACTTTGTAAGGAGTCTTAGGATTAGAAATTATTGCTATGGCATCTTATGCACCATTTGCTAATTATTTGTTAATAAATCGTTAATTGCAGCAGTTATTTTCTAATTAATCTTTAATTGCAGCAGTTATTTTATAATTAACTGTTAATTGCAGCAGTGGCAGTGATTTCTCTCACTTTCTCAACCTACTTCCTATCCCTATTCATGGACCCGGGCTATGCTCACTTTGAATTCATCAAGAAAGTCGTCTCTGCACTAGCCATATGTGAGTGTCTAACTTTCAAGGTCTGAAGTTGAAGTGAAGTTCAAGTTTGAAGTTCAAGTTTTTATTAGATTACAAAAATCAATAACGATCCACCACCAAGATAACATTGGACGATAAACAGATGGCATTTTGGATAATCTTCTGTAATTAATTATAATCACGCCCTGCTGCAGACCTTAAACATGAACAGTCTCATATTTCATACTTCAAACACGCTTCTTATTCAAACGGTACTCCTAAGGTATTCCTAAGGTATTCCTAAGGTATTCCTAAGGTATTCCTAATGTATTCCTAATGTATTCCTAAGGTATTCCTAAGGTATTCCTAAGGTATTCCTAAGGTATTCCTAAGGTATTCCTAAGGTATTCCTAAGGTATTCCTAAGGTATTCCTAAGGTATTCCTAAGGTATTCCTAAGGTATTCCTGAAGTATTCCTGAAGTGACCCTTATTTTTTCAGTGACAGTGGTTTCTATCTGTATGTACGGGACCAAGGCTGGTGTATGGGTACAGAATGGGTTCACGATAACGAAGTTTGTGGCCCTTATTTTCCTGGTTTTTCTGGCCATCGCCTATCTGTGCCAAGGTCAGTCGTGTTTACCTTATATGGACATTGAGCATCACGTGTTTACCTTATATGGGCATTACGTGGTACAGCGTGCATGTGGCGTTTACTGTTACCTGGTAGTTAATTTAGTCTTGCAATTATCCAAAACTAGCGAGTGGTGGATTCTGGATGATAATTTGTATAATTACAATCGGGAAACGTTTATGTTTGTGTTAGGAAGGTTACTGATTAGTTCAATTTGAAGTAAATTAGTAGAATTTGTAAACTAATGAATTCTAAAAAGGATGAATTATTATCATTATCTCAGTAATACGACTGAAACTAAATATCAACTTGCAGATACTTCTGTAAGTCTACATAAAACTTCAATTTCATAAGTAGTCATCAAATCCAAAATTTACGACCAATTTCGCTAACATCTTTTGTTAATAAATATTAGATTCCACTTGAAACATATTTCAGTTAATCTTAAACCGTTGATTTGATGTATCTGCACGTAAATCAAAAAAGGAGAAATACAAATTCAGTAAATAAGGAACATTTACAGACTATAAAAATAATATTTTTAATTTTATATTTTATAAATTTAAACATCTCTCCCAGGACACACCGAGAATATTACGGCAGGATTTAAAGGTTCTAATTTGAATGTTAGCGAATGGAGTGGAGCGTTACTGACCTCGCTGTGGGCTTATAACGGCTGGTAGGTACCACTTGTAACGGCTGGTAGGTACCACTTGTAACGGCTGGTAGGTACCACTTGTAACGGCTGGTAGGTACCACTTGTAACGGCTGGTAGGTACCACTTGTAACGGCTGGTAAGTACCACTTGTAACGGCTGGTAGGTACCACTTGTAACGGCTGGTAGGTACCACTTGTAACGGCTGGTAGGTACCACTTGTAACGGCTGGTAGGTACCACTTGTAACGGCTGGTAGGTACCACTTGTAACGGCTGGTAGGTACCACTTGTAACGGCTGGTAGGTACCACTTGTAACGGCTGGTAGGTACCACTTGTAACGGCTGGTAGGTACCACTTGTAACGGCTGGTAGGTACCACTTGTAACGGCTGGTAGGTACCACTTGTAACGGCTGGTAGGTACCACTTGTAACGGCTGGTAGGTACCACTTGTAACGGCTGGTAGGTACCACTTGTAACGGCTGGTAGGTACCACTTATAACGGCTGGTAGGTACCACTTATAACGGCTGGTAGGTACCACTTGTAACTGCTGGTAGGTACCACTTATAACGGCTGGTAGGTACCACTTATAACGGCTGGTAGGTACCACTTGTAACGGCTGGTAAGTACCACTTGTAACGGCTGGTAGGTACCACTTATAACGGCTGGTAGGTACCACTTGTAACGGCTGGTAGGTACCACTTGTAACGGCTGGTAGCTACCACTTGTAACGGCTGGTAGGTACCACTTGTAACGGCTGGTAGGTACCACTTGTAACGGCTGGTAGGTACCACTTGTAACGGCCGGTAGGTACCACTTGTAACGGCTGGTAGGTACCACTTGTAACGGCTGGTAGGTTCCAATGAAGGTACGGTTCCCAGTTGGAACCAGCCGAGTCTTATTCTAAAACTAAAAAATAAAAAGGACCCATGCGAGGACAATCTCTTCCTCTTCCACACCCTGAACCAGCTGCCACTTAAGGGGAGATACACCAAAAACGTTTTTGCTCCGAACATCGATTTTATTTTATATTATGGTTAAATAGACAAAAAGAATAAGATTACACACCTTCAAAATTTTCAAAAAATATTCCCTCATCGAGAAAAAAAATATTTTTCTTTTTCGAAAATTTTTAAAATTTGGAGAAGTCTGTCACTGTAATACCGATAGTTCGGCCATTTTTAAAGTTTTTTGGCTGATTTTTTTACTGAACATTACTTACAATCCGTACAAGAAGCCTTCAAAAGAATTATATAATTGAACGATAAATGACGAAGTTACAGACCAAACAAGGTCGAAAAAATAAAAATTGAAATTTTTCCCACTTCTAAAGTTGTACATTTCACCAATCACCCGGGTCAGCAGATATCGCTTCAAAAATTCTTGTGAGTGTAGCTGATGATCATATCGAATTTTTCTCAGATTTGAGTTTTAAACTATGCAATGTGGCCTCAAACGACTTAGTAAAATTCATCGTAAAAAAGGGCAAAAAAAGGCAGATTTAAGGCTTAAAATGCCTATAACTCAAAAAGTATCAGTTTTTTTGAAATAATTTTTACAGAATCGTAATCAGCTTGGTAAAACGAAAATATATTTTTTTCTCGATGAGGGAATATTTTTAGAAAATTGTGAAGGTGTGTAATCTTATTCTTTTTGTCTATTTAACCATAATATAAAATAAAATCGATGTTCGGAGCAAAAACGTTTTTGGTGTATCTCCCCTTAAGCGTTCATACACGACACATCTTACAACACTTACCATCATCCGACATTACACATTCTGATTCCTCCGGCATCCTCCCACAGGAGTCAGGACTCAAGGACTGCCATACCCCAGAGGTAGACAAAGCATCCACATGCCACCAGGCCCATACCAGCCTCTCTTATAAAAAAATAAAAAAAGGAAAAGCTCTTATCAATCAAGTAATTTATTTTTTCATTTGTTTCTTGGTTGCTCGATAATGATACCGTAATTTTATTACAGGAACCATATCAGTATTGTCGCAAGCGAAGTAAAGAATCCTGAAAAGTAAGTTTAAGCATGTTAATGATTCATCTAAGTTTAAATTGTCATAACCAATGTATTTACCGTCACGTGCACGTCATTATAATTTAAGTCAAATTTTAGCACCAACCTCAAGAATGAAACATCTGACTTTAGTATAGTAAACTCATTACGATATTTAAAATATATTTTCTTTCTATCTTTAGGAATGTACCACGAGCTTTACGATATTTAAAATATATTTTCTTTCTACCTCTAGAAATGTACCGCGGGCTCTGGTGACGTCCATGGTGTTGGTAACAATCACCTACATTATCATTAACCTGGCTTACCACACGCTCCTCTCACCTGCAGATCTCATCAGGTCCGAGTCAATCGCCGTGGTGAGCAAACTTACTATTTACCACTTTTCTATTTACCACTTTTCTATATTTACCAGTTTAATTTAAAACTTTATTTTACCAGCTTTATTTTGCCAGTTTTAATCCACCATTTTACTTCATTTTGCCACTTTGCTATTTATCAATTTACTATCAACCATGAACCATTTCGTTGGAAATTAAAAAATGTTGTGTAAGTTTGACAAACAACATAATACATATAAATACAATAAATATACTTAAAATAATAAAACTCATCAGTACGCCGGTGAAAAGTTTTTCGCTGAGTACAGTGAGGGATGGCTGACATTTGCTCGGTACTTTTTCGGCGCTAGTGTGGCTATTTCTACTTTTGGAGCTCTTCTCTCCATCACTCTCTCCTCATCAAGGTAATATTTTTATTCAAGATTTGATTGATTTATGTTTTGTAATTACAATTATGTAATAAATATTCTATATACCTATTATATATTTATTATTCACGAGTAAACATTGGCTGGTTACAATAATCCAGAACCAAATCAATCACGCTTGCCAGGTAGCCTTTTTCATTATCGCAGAGCTATATAATTCTATTATTGATTATAAAATGAGATTTTGTACGATCTATTGGTTTGAATTCTACAAATCTGTTGTTGAGAGCAGAGTTATGGCTCCGTGAAGATTCTTGGTTTTGCGCTGTTCGTATTGTCGCGACCAGAAGTGACGAATATATATGTCCACACACTGCATGATACGGACAGGATCCTGTCAGGAAGTGATAAATAAATGTAATTAATTTAGTTAATTAATTAATTAATCTGCAGGCTCCCGTACGCTGGGGCAGTGGAGGGAATGATGCCTACCTTGTTCGGTCTAGTATCAAAACGTAGCAAGACCCCAGTTACCAGTCTGGCCTTCCTCGTAAGTTTTATCGTAAGTATTCATAAAAAGAGAAGGGAAAAGAAGTTGGTTGTAAATGAATAACACAGGTATATTCATAAAAAGAAGGGGACGAAGAAGTCTTTAATAAATGAATAACACAAGTATTCATACAAAGAGAGGGAACAAGAAATTTTTTCGTGAATATTTAATTACTGACTTAATGAATTAATAACGCAAGTATGAATAATATTTGGTTGTTGAATGTTTTATCGTAATTATTCATAAACAAAAGGGGAAAATTAAGTTTTTTTGTATAAAAATATTTAATAACTGATTTAACAAATTTATTTAATAAATTAATAAAGCAAGTAGCTTGATGTAATGGAAGTATTCTTATACATGGTCATTCGCCAGATTAGGTTAAAATATTATCATTCATTAAAATGATATAACATTCTTACCCATAGTTATGAATTCATTGACTTAAAAAATTACCAGAATTTGTTTAATTGTTGCTTGACGTCAACAAGATCTTGAACTAAATTAACTAATATATCAATAATTTAATTAAAAAATATCTCACCAGGGAAGCTGCTCATTTGTGTGTGTCTGGCCTAGCAACATTGGGGATCTTATCCAGTACGTGGGTTTCATGTCCTGGACATTCTGGGGTCTGTGCTTTGTGGCTGTTATTGTGCTGCGCTATAAGTTACCTGACATACCCCGTCCCTTCAAGGTATGTTAACAAGTTATCTGACATACCCCGCCCCTTCAATGTATGTTAACAAGTTACCTGACATACCCCGCCCCTTCAAGGTATGTAAACAAGTTACCTGACATACCCCGCCCCTTCAAGGTATGTTAACAAGTTACCTGACATACCCCGCCCCTTCAAGGTATGTTAACAAGTTACCTGACATACCCCGCCCCTTCAATGTATGTTAACAAGTTACCTGACATACCCCGCCCCTTCAAGGTATGTAAACAAGTTACCTGACATACCCCGCCCCTTCAAGGTATGTTAACAAGTTACCTGACATACCCCGCCCCTTCAAGGTATGTTAACAAGTTACCTGACATACCCCACCCCTTCAAGGTATGTTAACAAGTTACCTGACATACCCCGCCCCTTCAAGGTATGTTAACAAGTTACCTGACATACCCCGCCCCTTCAATGTATGTTAACAAGTTACCTGACATACCCCGCCCCTTCAATGTATGTTAACAAGTTACCTGACATACCCCGCCCCTTCAAGGTATGTAAACAAGTTACCTGACATATCCCGCCCCTTCAAGGTATGTTAACAAGTTACCTGACATACCCCGCCCCTTCAAGGTATGTTAACAAGTTACCTGACATACCCCGCCCCTTCAAGGTATGTTAACAAGTTACCTGACATACCCCGCCTCTTCAAGGTATGTTAACAAGTTACCTGACATACCCCGCCCCTTCAATGTATGTTAACAAGTTACCTGACATACCCCGCCCCTTCAAGGTATGTTAACAAGTTACCTGACATACCCCGCCCCTTCAAGGTATGTTAACAAGTTACCTGACATACCCCGTCCCTTCAAGGTATGTTAACAAGTTACCTGACATACCCCGCTCCTTCAAGGTATTTTAACAAGTTACCTGACATACCCCGCCCCTTCAAGGTATGTTAACAAGTTACCTTACATACCCCGCCCCTTCAAGGTATGTTAACAAGTTACCTGACATACCCCGCCCCTTCAAGGTACGTAAACAAGTTACCTGACATACCCCACCCCTTCAAGGTACGTTAACAAGTTACCTGACATACCCCGCCCCTTCAAGGTATTTTAACAAGTTACCTGACATACCCCGCCCCTTCAAGGTATGTTAACAAGTTACCTGACATACCCCGCCCCTTCAAGGTATGTTAACAAGTTACCTGACATACCCCGCCCCTTCAAGGTATGTTAACAAGTTACCTGACATACCCCGCCCCTTCAAGGTATGTTAACAAGTTATCTGACATACCCCACCCCTTCAAGGTATTTTAACAAGTTACCTGACATACCCCGCCCCTTCAAGGTATGTTAACAAGTTACCTGACATACCCCGCCCCTTCAAGGTACGTCAACAAGTTACCTGACATACCCCACCCCTTCAAGGTATGTTAACAAGTTACCTGACATACCCCACCCCTTCAAGGTATGTTAACAAGTTACCTGACATACCCCACCCCTTCAAGGTATGTTAACTAAAAACGTCTCTTAAAACACTCTAAAACACTCTAAACACTCTAAAACACTCTAAACATTCTAAAACACTCTAAAACACTCTAAACATTAACCAATTTATTGGAATTCCGCACGTTACAATTTACAAAGTGCCCTCCCAGATCCCCCTGATTATACCGGTAGTAGCGAGCCTGACCTCCCTCTACCTGGTTGTAGGCTCCCTCTACGCTAACCCTCCTCCCCAGATCCCCCTGATAATACCGGTAGTAGCGAGCCTGACCTCCCTCTACCTGGTTGTAGGCTCCCTCTACGCTAACCCTCCTCCCCAGATCCCCCTGATAATACCGGTAGTAGCGAGCCTGACCTCCCTCTACCTGGTTGTAGGCTCCCTCTACGCTAACCCTCCTCCCCAGATCCCCCTGATAATACCGGTAGTAGCGAGCCTGACCTCCCTCTACCTGGTTGTAGGCTCCCTCTACGCTAACCCTCCTCCCCAGATCCCCCTGATAATACCGGTAGTAGCGAGCCTGACCTCCCTCTACCTGGTTGTAGGCTCCCTCTACGCTAACCCTCCTCCCCAGATCCCCCTGATAATACCGGTAGTAGCGAGCCTGACCTCCCTCTACCTGGTTGTAGGCTCCCTCTACGCTAACCCTCCTCCCCAGATCCCCCTGATAATACCGGTAGTAGCGAGCCTGACCTCCCTCTACCTGGTTGTAGGCTCCCTCTACGCTAACCCTCCTCCCCAGATCCCCCTGATAATACCGGTAGTAGCGAGCCTGACCTCCCTCTACCTGGTTGTAGGCTCCCTCTACGCTAACCCTCCTCCCCAGATCCCCCTGATAATACCGGTAGTAGCGAGCCTGACCTCCCTCTACCTGGTTGTAGGCTCCCTCTACGCTAACCCTCCTCCCCAGATCCCCCTGATAATACCGGTAGTAGCGAGCCTGACCTCCCTCTACCTGGTTGTAGGCTCCCTCTACGCTAACCCTCCTCCCCAGATCCCCCTGATAATACCGGTAGTAGCGAGCCTGACCTCCCTCTACCTGGTTGTAGGCTCCCTCTACGCTAACCCTCCTCCCCAGATCCCCCTGATAATACCGGTAGTAGCGAGCCTGACCTCCCTCTACCTGGTTGTAGGCTCCCTCTACGCTAACCCTCCTCCCCAGATCCCCCTGATAATACCGGTAGTAGCGAGCCTGACCTCCCTCTACCTGGTTGTAGGCTCCCTCTACGCTAACCCTCCTCCCCAGATCCCCCTGATAATACCGGTAGTAGCGAGCCTGACCTCCCTCTACCTGGTTGTAGGCTCCCTCTACGCTAACCCTCCTCCCCAGATCCCCCTGATAATACCGGTAGTAGCGAGCCTGACCTCCCTCTACCTGGTTGTAGGCTCCCTCTACGCTAACCCTCCTCCCCAGATCCCCCTGATAATACCGGTAGTAGCGAGCCTGACCTCCCTCTACCTGGTTGTAGGCTCCCTCTACGCTAACCCTCCTCCCCAGATCCCCCTGATAATACCGGTAGTAGCGAGCCTGACCTCCCTCTACCTGGTTGTAGGCTCCCTCTACGCTAACCCTCCTCCCCAGATCCCCCTGATAATACCGGTAGTAGCGAGCCTGACCTCCCTCTACCTGGTTGTAGGCTCCCTCTACGCTAACCCTCCTCCCCAGATCCCCCTGATAATACCGGTAGTAGCGAGCCTGACCTCCCTCTACCTGGTTGTAGGCTCCCTCTACGCTAACCCTCCTCCCCAGATCCCCCTGATAATACCGGTAGTAGCGAGCCTGACCTCCCTCTACCTGGTTGTAGGCTCCCTCTACGCTAACCCTCCTCCCCAGATCCCCCTGATAATACCGGTAGTAGCGAGCCTGACCTCCCTCTACCTGGTTGTAGGCTCCCTCTACGCTAACCCTCCTCCCCAGATCCCCCTGATAATACCGGTAGTAGCGAGCCTGACCTCCCTCTACCTGGTTGTAGGCTCCCTCTACGCTAACCCTCCTCCCCAGATCCCCCTGATAATACCGGTAGTAGCGAGCCTGACCTCCCTCTACCTGGTTGTAGGCTCCCTCTACGCTAACCCTCCTCCCCAGATCCCCCTGATAATACCGGTAGTAGCGAGCCTGACCTCCCTCTACCTGGTTGTAGGCTCCCTCTACGCTAACCCTCCTCCCCAGATCCCCCTGATAATACCGGTAGTAGCGAGCCTGACCTCCCTCTACCTGGTTGTAGGCTCCCTCTACGCTAACCCTCCTCCCCAGATCCCCCTGATAATACCGGTAGTAGCGAGCCTGACCTCCCTCTACCTGGTTGTAGGCTCCCTCTACGCTAACCCTCCTCCCCAGATCCCCCTGATAATACCGGTAGTAGCGAGCCTGACCTCCCTCTACCTGGTTGTAGGCTCCCTCTACGCTAACCCTCCTCCCCAGATCCCCCTGATAATACCGGTAGTAGCGAGCCTGACCTCCCTCTACCTGGTTGTAGGCTCCCTCTACGCTAACCCTCCTCCCCAGATCCCCCTGATAATACCGGTAGTAGCGAGCCTGACCTCCCTCTACCTGGTTGTAGGCTCCCTCTACGCTAACCCTCCTCCCCAGATCCCCCTGATAATACCGGTAGTAGCGAGCCTGACCTCCCTCTACCTGGTTGTAGGCTCCCTCTACGCTAACCCTCCTCCCCAGATCCCCCTGATAATACCGGTAGTAGCGAGCCTGACCTCCCTCTACCTGGTTGTAGGCTCCCTCTACGCTAACCCTCCTCCCCAGATCCCCCTGATAATACCGGTAGTAGCGAGCCTGACCTCCCTCTACCTGGTTGTAGGCTCCCTCTACGCTAACCCTCCTCCCCAGATCCCCCTGATAATACCGGTAGTAGCGAGCCTGACCTCCCTCTACCTGGTTGTAGGCTCCCTCTACGCTAACCCTCCTCCCCAGATCCCCCTGATAATACCGGTAGTAGCGAGCCTGACCTCCCTCTACCTGGTTGTAGGCTCCCTCTACGCTAACCCTCCTCCCCAGATCCCCCTGATAATACCGGTAGTAGCGAGCCTGACCTCCCTCTACCTGGTTGTAGGCTCCCTCTACGCTAACCCTCCTCCCCAGATCCCCCTGATAATACCGGTAGTAGCGAGCCTGACCTCCCTCTACCTGGTTGTAGGCTCCCTCTACGCTAACCCTCCTCCCCAGATCCCCCTGATAATACCGGTAGTAGCGAGCCTGACCTCCCTCTACCTGGTTGTAGGCTCCCTCTACGCTAACCCTCCTCCCCAGATCCCCCTGATAATACCGGTAGTAGCGAGCCTGACCTCCCTCTACCTGGTTGTAGGCTCCCTCTACGCTAACCCTCCTCCCCAGATCCCCCTGATAATACCGGTAGTAGCGAGCCTGACCTCCCTCTACCTGGTTGTAGGCTCCCTCTACGCTAACCCTCCTCCCCAGATCCCCCTGATAATACCGGTAGTAGCGAGCCTGACCTCCCTCTACCTGGTTGTAGGCTCCCTCTACGCTAACCCTCCTCCCCAGATCCCCCTGATAATACCGGTAGTAGCGAGCCTGACCTCCCTCTACCTGGTTGTAGGCTCCCTCTACGCTAACCCTCCTCCCCAGATCCCCCTGATAATACCGGTAGTAGCGAGCCTGACCTCCCTCTACCTGGTTGTAGGCTCCCTCTACGCTAACCCTCCTCCCCAGATCCCCCTGATAATACCGGTAGTAGCGAGCCTGACCTCCCTCTACCTGGTTGTAGGCTCCCTCTACGCTAACCCTCCTCCCCAGATCCCCCTGATAATACCGGTAGTAGCGAGCCTGACCTCCCTCTACCTGGTTGTAGGCTCCCTCTACGCTAACCCTCCTCCCCAGATCCCCCTGATAATACCGGTAGTAGCGAGCCTGACCTCCCTCTACCTGGTTGTAGGCTCCCTCTACGCTAACCCTCCTCCCCAGATCCCCCTGATAATACCGGTAGTAGCGAGCCTGACCTCCCTCTACCTGGTTGTAGGCTCCCTCTACGCTAACCCTCCTCCCCAGATCCCCCTGATAATACCGGTAGTAGCGAGCCTGACCTCCCTCTACCTGGTTGTAGGCTCCCTCTACGCTAACCCTCCTCCCCAGATCCCCCTGATAATACCGGTAGTAGCGAGCCTGACCTCCCTCTACCTGGTTGTAGGCTCCCTCTACGCTAACCCTCCTCCCCAGATCCCCCTGATAATACCGGTAGTAGCGAGCCTGACTTCCCTCTACCTGGTTGTAGGCTCCCTCTACGCTAACCCTCCTCCCCAGATCCCCCTGATAATACCGGTAGTAGCGAGCCTGACCTCCCTCTACCTGGTTGTAGGCTCCCTCTACGCTAACCCTCCTCCCCAGATCCCCCTGATAATACCGGTAGTAGCGAGCCTGACCTCCCTCTACCTGGTTGTAGGCCCCCTCTACGCTAACCCTCCTCCCCAGATCCCCCTGATAATACCGGTAGTAGCGAGCCTGACTTCCCTCTACCTGGTTGTAGGCTCCCTCTACGCTAACCCTCCTCCCCAGATCCCCCTGATAATACCGGTAGTAGCGAGCCTGACTTCTCTCTACCTGGTTGTAGGCTCCCTCTACGCGAACCCTCTCCCAAGTCTTATCTGGATCGTGGCTTGCCTGGTGGCTGTTCCTGTGTACTACGGATACGTGGACAACGAGAAGATGTGTCATCTTTGGATGGGTGGGTGGTTTTTAATACTCTGTATTTTAGTCACCAGCCTTGCTACACTCTTTATTCTTTTATTATAGTTGTGGTTTAACTTCACTTTATGTTTTACCACACTCTTTATTTTGTTTTAGTCTATAAAACTCTTTAAGTCTTCTAGATTATCGTTTGAACGAACGCTTAAGAACTTATTCAGGCACATTCGTTTTGTTCCTTAATTTTTGTGTACATGTGTCAGAAGGAATCTCCCTCAAATATTGCTAATCATTAAACAGTGGTTTATTATTTTATTGTATTTTGAGCTTAATTAATACAACCCTCACGTGATTGCATGACGCGTATTGTACTCCTTTATAATATTGTACTCCTTGATGATAAGGGTTAATAAGCAGCCCTGATCTGAACTTCAGACCACAGTTATAATGAGTAATTATGTAGGGCCCTCAATTGAGTTACAAAATCTGGTATAACTTATTATTATCAGCAGCTGGGGAACACGTCTTCTTTTTCTTGTAGATAAGAGAATTATGTTGAGATATTCCTACAAACATTCCGGGACACTTTCCCTCATACGTACAATTAGTGAATCTATAAATAGAAGATCGAGTAATTGTGTTTTATTTCAGATAAGCTGACCAACAAACTTTTGCACTACCTGGACGCTGGAGACGTCAAACAGTAGATATTGTCGGCGGTATATCTGCGGCGTCTGATGGTATTTGGCGGCGTCTGGCGGCGTCTGATGGTATCTGGCGGCGATGGTTTCTGTGGCGCCTGGCATTGATCCTGGTGGTGGCTTTGTTGGGTTATTACCACTATAACATGAGAGAGGGCTTCAATTACTCAATAAGTGGAACAATAAGCCACAGTAATTATACTTAACAGGTTAACGATACTTTACGATATGTTATACAGTAATTATACTTAACAGGTTAACGATACTTTACGATATGGCTGAAAATTATTATTTTTATATTGCATGTATGATGCTGATTCTCCATTTTGCTGAGGATCAGGAATAATTAACGTCAATAGGGTTTATAATTCTGACTTGTTTTAAAGATTTCATTCTCAGACTTCAGTGCTTTTCTATGCTAAGTTTAGTGATACTGGTATGTTCTTTTGAAATAAAACATGGGGCGAATGGGGTGAATTAAAAACTTTTTATGATGACATGGCTAAATTTTTAATCTAATCTTTAAATTTAATTTCTATTGTTATTGTTGCAATTAATTTTGGGCTGTTCCACAAAAATTGGAACAATATTAATTTGCGAGTCAGGCTTATTGGATGTTGCCAGCATTCTAGCATATTGAATTTATTTACCGGGCCTCTATTTACCGGGTCCTGTGTTTAACCGGGATATATTTTAATATTTAGTCTACCCCGAGAGGCCCTCTTTTATAGAAGTTGATTTGATTTTGTAAGCAGAATTATAAAAGTAAAATATTTGCCAACGCATTTGGGGCACATGTTTAAGTTCATTCCATGTTGCATGTGCTGTCATGGGTACTTGTATAACTATAAGAAAATTTGAAAGTTTGAAACAGTTTAAATGTTAAAACAAATTCTTATTGAAAAATCGTTATCATATTGCTTTGTACGAATTATTTTGAATCACTATTACGATTTAAAGTTTACTTCTATATATTACTCAATCTAGTAAACATTTGTCAAACAATAAAAAGTTAATTTTGACATTCACTGAAAATAAAAAATAAAGTTTTGAAATATTATAGATTCTTTATTCTCTAAAATTCTGAATTATATCCGAAACTCTGAAAGCAGCGATTTGACGCAACAAAACTCGACGAATAACATAAATAAATTAAATGTAATGGAAGTGCTATCCATAATAATATAATTTGGCACCAAAATTTATGAAGATGACCTTCTTTAAGGAGTATCACTGGTTTAAGCTTTAATCATAACAGTTAATTTTGGCTTTTGTTAACGATAATTATATTTCCCTTATTCAAGATATCCAACTGCCATGGTCCCTGGGGCCAGGACAAATCTTGTTTGTGTTTGTTTGTTTGTTTATAGAACCCGTCCCCAATCTCGTATAGGGAAATGACTAAACTAAGGTCTGAGTGTGAATACGGGTGGTACCTGCAAGAGTGTTCATTAAGCATTTAGAGTTCTGTGAAACTGCAGTTACAATTGTGCTAGAGTATTTTTAGTATATACGATTGGTATCAGATATATATCCCTTAATCCCTACATGCTTCCAAAATTTGTAAAGCCGTAGTACATACATATCACATTACACCGGAGCCTACAAAGTGCAATCTCCTCTAGTCGCGTCGATCTGCGCGTTGTATATTTATAAGTTTATATAAGCGCGCGGCCCAGATTGGAGGAAACCACACTCTGCAAGTTCGATCCAGTGCAATGCTACATGTACGTACTACGGCTTTATCTCCAACTTTCTGCACAATGTACTCAGTACTGGAATGTTTTGAAGGAAAAAAAAAAACTAAAATCAGCTTCTTTAAAAAAAAAATAATAAAGTATGTAACGTCGATACCAAACCGATTATTGAGCGATGGTAACTGAGTAGTGGATTCCTGGGTTGCAGAGTCATTCAGATGTTTCAGTCTTCGAATGTGGTTCTTGTTCAGTTTTGTCCATGTTTCCTCGTGTTATGTTCAAAGTTTTAGGTGTCATGTTGTCCTTGACCAGAAGTGTCTAATGAAGTAAGTCAGTCAAGCAAACTCTTCCTTAAATGCTGATATGTGTTGTCTCCATCCCAGAAAATATGAAGATGACCCAGTGAAAAAATGCAGAAATCGGCCGAAAATAACAAATACTAGTGACAGTTAAAAAGTTAAAAAGTGACAGAATTCAAACACAAGGAAAATTTATAACATAGTAATAAATCGTAATAGGAAATATCTCCAAACGGAGTTTTCTAAGAGGGTGAGATGTTCTTTAATAAGTCCTCATGATTAAATGAGAAGTTACCTAGAGGTACTTATAAATTAACCGGACTGCTAGCGAGGATTTCTAAGAGGGTGAGATGTTCTTTAATAAGTCCTCATGATTAAATGAGAAGTAACCTAAAGGTACTAAATTAACCGGACTGCTAGCGAGGATTTCTAAGAGGGTGAGATGTTCTTTAATAAGTCCTCATGATTAAATGAGAAGTTACATAGAGGTACTAAATTAACCGGACTGCTAGCGAGGATTGACCAGCAAACCAATTTGACGCTCGTAATAATTGACTCAAACTCTTTTCTACAGCATATATATTCTGAAGTCCACATTTTTTGGCAGCTATTTGACCTTAGGAATAACAGATAAGCCGGAGATAGCAATTATTTGACAATATTTTATTGCTATGAACCTTCCGACTCTAGACCAAGTCGCGCGATGGGCAGTGTTTCGAGTTTGGCGTGTGCACGTGGACGCCGCGGTTACCATGGGGATGTTGGCTGCAATGTATGCGCGGTACGCGTGCACGCTCATTTATTTATCTTTCACTTCCAATTGCTCTTTAACTTATAAAAAACAATGGTCGACTTAAATACAAGTGCAGCAGTGCTCACAGGAAATGAGATCAATCAGTTATCTGCAGCTGTGATTCTTCTAGGAGTATTGGTATTGGCTCTAGGATTCCTCGTCATCGGACTTCACATTCGTACAGTGAACAAAATTTCGAAGGTCTTCGACGAAATTGACTTGGAAGGGGGACTACAAGTTCCTAAAGAAAAGCCACCACAACAAGGCCCCTTACAACAGGGATTGCCAGACTCAAGGTTTCCTGCTTCAAGGACTCTCGACAGCACTAGCAGGTCAAAAATATGGAAGACGAGAACGGAAAGGGATAGATCAGCGCGTTCAAAGGTAAAATTTTAGAATGATTCAGCTTCGTTTTCAATTTTATTTCACAACACTTCAAATTGATTCAAGGTTTCATCACTTTTTTGATGCAATTTAATCTCTTCATGAACACTATTTGGAACTTAAATATTGTTAGTTGTTATATGCCTAATATAAATTGTAAAACAGTAATTTCTTTTAGGTAGGTTTGGGTGCCCGCAAACACAAATACGTGTCTTCGAGTATCTTCCCAGATGAACTCGTTTTCATCTCCGAGAGTGAAGATTCCATACGGGTGAAGAAATTCATAATGGTGGGTAGAGAAGTCGTCAAAAAAGAAGTGCCTCCAAAAGGGGAGGATGGAATAAACTCCTGTGGAAACAATGAAGTTGAGAAGAAAACTGACAAAGGGGATCAAAGTGTCTCTGAATATTTAACATCAAATGAATCAGAAAGCGAACTAAACACCTACCCAAATGGAGCAGGGACAGTGACATTTGCTTCAAATAACACAACAGAGGAGTTACCGAGAAATCGTAAATCTATCTCAGAAAATAATCTGCTAATCAGAGACAATACATCTCGCGGAGCTGGCCAGTTCCCGAAACAGCTTGTAACGAGATCTCGTGACCAGGTAAATGGATAGTTAAACAAATGAACTTTTCATAAGTCATTTGGTACACGAATTAAGTTTGTTGAATCTTGTAACACCTTCGCATTTGTGATACAGTCACTTATAGTTTTTCCTTGAAAGCTAATCAACTGATCTGAAAATATGTAACTGCAATCTATAAAAATCAATTGAAGCAACACTGATCTTATTGCAAAGGGGGGGATCGGATCTTAGCCTAATTTAATCTCATTTTATCTCTGCAGAATCAGGGGGATCAGGATAATTGCCTTACTGTTTGAAAAGTCGCCCGGAAACACGCTCTGACACACGCTCTGACATACGCTCTGACATACGCCCGGACACACGCTCTGACATACGCTCTGACACACGCTCTGACACATGGTCTGACACACGCTCTGATATACGCTCTGACACACGCTCTGACATACGCCCGGACACACGCTCTGACATACGCTTTGACACACGCTTTGACACACGCTCTGACATACGTTCGGGCACACGCTCAGACACACGCTCTGAAATACGCTCTGACACACGCTCGGACAATCGGCCAGACATACGCTCTGACACACGCTCTGAAATACGCTCTGACACACGCTCGCTTACTCGGACATAACACTCGGACACACGGTCTGACATACGCTCTGACACACGCTCGGACATAACGCTCGGACACACGGTCGCGGTCTGACACACACTGACATACTGCATACGCTCTGACACATGCTATGAAATACGCTCGGACACACGCTCGGACACACGCTCGGACACACGCTCTGACACATGCTATGAAATACGCTCGGACACACGGTCGGGCACACGGTCTGACACACACACACTGACATACGCTCTGAAATATGCTCTGACACACGCTTGGGCACACGGTATGACACACACACATACACACTGACATACGCTCTGACACGCTCTGCAGCAGCAACTGCAGACACCACAGTCATGGGATAGGATTCATTAATCGTTGCTTGTTATTATTCATAAACCAGAAAAAAACCAAAAAAAATGTTAAAAGAGGCAAAAACAAAGAAAAAACAAAAAAAAACCAAAATCCAAAAAAATTACTTTATAATGCGGTTGTTCCTTTTTACAACAGCATTCATTAATTCGATATCATTTTTTCCGATATCAAAAAGCCCAATGAGCTTGTTTCACTTGTATAAAATTTATGTGTTTCTTAGAACTTCACGAATTATTTTATAAAATAAAATAATATTATCTTTTAAAATACATATTTACCTGTTGGACTTCTTCCTCGTCTTCCTCAGCTTCTTCTCCGAACGACAAAAGTTTGAAATTTTTTGTAGCCTTCATCTGTCTTTTCTTCTTCTTTTCTTTCTTCTTCTCTTCGCCAGTTTTATGCTTGATATGCAGGACAAATCTTAGTTAGAATACAATTATCTTGTTCTAGAAACACCTGCCGCGCCCTAACAGCAGTTTTTCAGTTTTACACCTCAGTGCTATGATTTTGTATCCTTCTTATAGTTATACAATATATCTTGGTATACGTTATTCGCCATATCAAATTCAATAGAAGCAACATAGTAATATACAGAATTGAGGGCTGTAACTGTTTAACGGAGCTAACAGCTGTGCAGTGGTCCATAATATTCTAATTAAGCTCAGGAGCTCCTTCTTTTTGTGGTCATTTTCTGTTTTTATATACTTTAGCTTTCTCCTCTAAATATAAAAATTCGAATTTTAATTAACTAATTGTCATTTCAAGGCTCACTAGTTTTACAAATAGCACTAATTTCATCAGTATACTTATTAATTTCTGCATTTGAATTTCGTGAAGAAGATTGTGCCAACTAAACAGCTTTTATATTATTTACCGGACCATTACTTTTAAGCATTAAGGACCAAAAGTCGGGTTTAAAAAGGGCCAACGCTTCTAGTATTATCCTACACACAGAAGGACTATAGTGCAAAAAAACTGCTGCTAACTGCTACTCACTGCTGCTCACTGCTGCTTACTGTTGCTAACTGCTGCATGTTATAATCTGACTACACACACTGCAGTACTCCAGTATAGCTGCAGGGAGGAGTTGAGTGTCAGTGTGCACTTCGCTGTATAGAGATTTTTGCTACTGGATAGGGTTGAATAGGTCATTGGTAACTCAAATCCCCGAGGGCCGCATGTTGTGTCGCTAGTCCCAACCCTATGGAGCCACGCACACGCCCATATTTCATATCAGGTGCGTATATGGGAAATTTGTATCAAAGCTTCTGAAGGTCTTAGAGACTCAAACTAGAGTTTAAAATGACCGCAATGCACATGTTTATATTGCAGCACTGTGATGGTCACGAAAGCCCAAAATGCTTATTTTTGGAAAAAATTAGAAAAACTGATTTTCACTTGGGTGCGAGTAAAACATCTACTCTAGAAATTAAGTGAAATTAAGTATGAAGTTCAGTGTCTACAACGTTTATATAAACACGGGGTCAGTCTACCATCTAATCTCAACCGGCCTACCTGGATTACCATCTACCTCTTCTTTTCCTCAATAATTAGACCGAGTTGTGCAAGAAATGTGATTTATCATTTTAATGACGGATTTGTCTGTACTAGTAACCAGTAAAATAGAAAATCAGAGAATAATGAGTGATTAGGTATGGCCACCATATTGCTGTGTTGAAGCCACCATATGGCTTCTGAAAGGCCACCATACATTTGACCTCAAAGTTCTTTGTAAGTAGTGATTATCGATTTATTTCGCAACGAAACAGAGCCTTTAAATTATAACGTTCTACTTTCGATACGGTAGTGCTCGAACTTTTTGCTTTAATTAAAGATTTAAATAGTACAACGATGCGCCAAAAACTGATTTAAACTGTTCGAGTAGGATAATCTATTTCTTAGGCTGATAATTGTCGAGACCATTAAATATTTATATAGTTTATCCGCAGTGCGCAGCTGGTAAATTTTATTTTGAAATTGACTACTTTATGAAGGAAAATAAGGCTTTTTGGTAAAATCGAAAATATTAACAATCCGGTTGCGATCATTCATCTATTACTTTATTATAGACAAAATCTGCCATTGTTAAGCAGGTCATAGTCCGGCATTACTGTGCAGACGTTTGTGTTTGTGGATTACTTGTGGAATATAGTATCTAAAATAATAGCTTGACGATTAGAAAATGACTCATCCTGCATCTGCAGCAATGTCTTGGATCGGCACAGTCAGAATTGAGCACAAGGTTTTTTTGTTGTTGTTTAGTACTGCAATATTATTAATAATATATTTTTTATTTTGACCCGTGATGTTCAAACCAATTTTCGAAATTATTTATTGGGTTTACTTGAAGTACTGAAACACTCTTAGGACTTAGGAAAGGACCGTTTTGCGTTTTGCTCTTGTGTTTTGTTCTATACTATTACTGTGATCATATTATTATTAACAAGGGCTACTCACGTCTCACAACGTGAGCCTCCCACATTCTGGGATGATAATTATGTCCAATCATAATTTTTTCCTAAAAATATTTATGCCTACACAATATTATATAATATACTCTCATATCATTGCCTCACTTGTATCGTTTTGCCTGTATAAGTATTGTATATTCCATGGCTGAAAAAACTGATAACGATTTACGGCCACAAGGAGGGCCACTGGGCCAGAAAAAGTATGGAAAAAATGTTAAGTCAGCGATTTTCAATGACGTCTTATGAAATTGATGCCTGAAGTACAACCCGTAAAAAATATCCATTCACATTTAAGAATATAATCATGATCAAATAGGCTCTTTAATAACTTGAGTTCAGGTCTTTTGCACGATTGAAGGTACAGACTCAGAGAGGTTTTATTTATTACATATTATGCGATTATCGTAGTACAGCAGGCTATCGGTTCGATCTTAAATGTGCCTTTGGTGCAGTTTCTGTGAAAATCGAAATGAGGTCAAAAGTGGTAAAGTGGCCTTAAGACACGTGGAAAAGTTTGGAAAGCCGTAAAGGGCACCTAATGGAACTCAAAAACGTCAAAAATCCTTAGAAAGCTTCTTGTGTCGGCAGATCGATTTTTTCAGACAGATTTGTCTGTACTATACTTCGGCTACCACTAAAGTTCCTCCAACTTCTGCTATTTCTAGCAACCTTAGCTTAGGCTAGTGGGCTACTTCTTGTCCTGTCTAGCAACCATCAGCAACATTTTATTCTGGCGTTTAGAGGTTGCTAGAAACAGCAAGTTTACTTTTCCTTAATGAGCTAGAAATCGTTGGATGCAGCCGGGAGGTAGCAGTAGCACTCATTGTTGGCATGGAGTTAGCAGAAGGTAGCCAGAAGTAGATTCTGCTACATGAGGTTGGATTCGAGTTGATTAGCCATAATAGCCAAGCAGTACTGGATAGAGCCCCGAGAGGGAGCTGAAGGCAGCCTAAGATAGCTGGAAGGAGCTTCTGACACTGAGTATTTTCGCAGTTATACCAAAATTGAAGTTAGGTGGTATGTGCTGCTCCATGAATGTTATCCGAATGTGTTCATGTTGAACGTTTTACTGTGCTGCAAAAGTCTCTAAATATTTTTTAGCCCGAGATACCATAATTAAGTACGTCATGTTTGATGTTATTATTTGTTACATTTTGTTTTCTGACAACTTAAAAGCTCAAAAATCTATCATGCGATATTGCGGAATCCTTATTAGAGGCCATTCTATTTCTACTGTGTGGATTTGACTATTAAGTTTTTATAAAGGAGGTGATTGGCAGAACCACTTGTATTTGATTGCTATTGTTAGAGTAGTATTCTACCAGCTACCTTCACAAACTTTATAATGTCATTTTATTTAAATATCACTATGATTTTAGCTAATCTACAAGCACTTACCTGGGGACCCCAGGCTAAGATTCGGCGGAATGGCAGGCTGAGCGCGGCCCAGTGAACAAGCACCTGCTCAAATTGCCTTTTGAATTCGATCATATTAAATCGATTCAATGATTTCTCTCCCAACAGCAGAATAGGCATTAGTGCCATAATATATTTGATTTTGTTGCCATCACAAATATACATATACTAATACAGTAACAAGTAGTTTATTTCGTGAACTCTCACATAATTAAAGGTCTATGTAGCATATTATTTGCAGCTGACAAACCTGGTAATGAACACACCTAACTCAGATTTGTAATCTTTGACAATAAAAAGAGTAATTTTTCTTTGCCAATTATACATAGTGTACATGGTAAGCCAGTTAAGTTTCTGTGCAATTCGAAATTGCATCAATTAATATTTTATTTTTGTTATTTTTTATTTAGGGGTCGTTCAC